GCCAGCAGTATTCTGTAGCAATTAGGTATGCCAGCATCTTTACTTCTTTCTTATTCTTTTTTATTTTATTTTTTTAATTTTATGGACAAAGGTTTTCTCTCATTATTTGCTATTATCAGTAGTGTTCACTGCCTACCCTTGTTTCTGTGACCTTGAGAAGTTCTTGAATTTTCAAGAGTAGGTTTTGGAAATTATGTTGATGGGGTTGGGACTTTTGGTGATATTTACAGTTCTCCCTTGGTATCCATAGGGTACTGGTTTCCTTGATATACCAAACTCTGCAGATGCTCAAGTCTCTTGTATAAAATGATGCCGTATTGTATATAACCTACACACATTTTCCTATATACTTGCAGTCATCTCTAGATTACTTTTAATACCTAATACCATGTAAATGCTATGTAAATACTTTTTATACTGTATTATTTAGGGAATAATGACAAGGTAAAGAAGTATACATATTCAATATAGATGCAACCATCATAGACTTAACTACATAGTGCACAGTAGCAACCACATAACTTTTTTTGAATATTTCCCATTAGCTGTTGGTTGAATCTGCAGACGTGGAACCCATGGATATGGAGGGCCAACTTGTGTTTGGGATTTTGCATTTGTAATCCTGAGTGAGCTTTGTTTGTGTCTGTGGAGGGTCAACCTGAGGCCACACATTGTATCTCTAGTTAGAGCAATGATTTTCAACCTTTTTCATCTCATGGCACACATAAATTAATTACTAAAGTCCTGCAGTACACCAAAAAATGTTTTTTGCCAATCTGACAAAAAAAAAGATAAAAATTTTTTAATATTGATGTTTTGCTTTCACATTTCCATGTTTCTTTCCTTCTCCCTGGCATACCTAATTGCTACAGAATATTGCTGGCTCTTAAAAAATACCATTATTGTCCGGCATATGCCCAGATTGCGGGCTCAATCCCCAGAGAGGGAAGGGAGAGGGAGAGAGAAACATAGAAATGTGAAAGCAAAACTTCAATTGCTCCCAAATGCTTCCTTCTGGCGATCTCGAGCCAGCAACCTGATCATATGCCCTGACCTGGGAATCCTTTCACTGCACAGGGAATCCTTTCACTGACGCCCAACTAACAGAGCTATACAGGCTAGGGAAAAAGGAGTAATTTTGATTCATTCATACTGGATGGTTATTGTTGTGTTAGTTATCAATTCTTAACATTTGACAATCTAAGGGAAAAGAGGGTTAGTGCCCTGACTAGTTAGGTATTGCATTTAAAAGCAATTTTTGCTCATACCAGTTGAAAATCGCCTACCTAGGGGACTGTTATCCCTCAGACCACCAGAGAAACTAGTTGTGAGAATGGACCCTGGTGTTTTTCCAAAGCCCCCCAGGTACGGATTATGTTGGGTCAGGATTACCCCAGTTCTGTGCAGTGTATTAGGGAATTTGGCTCTGCTGTTTGCTAGAACACTTGGATTCAGGTCCCTTTTCTAATACTGCTTAACAAAGGGGACCCATTTTGATAAATGTGTCATTATGTGATTTTGTTCTTGTGAGATCATCACAGAGTGTGTTTACACATGCCTGGATGGTATACCCTACCACACCTAGACTGTGTGGTACCGCTTACTGCTCCTAGGCTACAAGCCTGTACAGCCTGTTCTATACAAAACAACATGAGATTAAATCAGATACAAGAGAAATAATGCAAGTAGTTAAGAGATGGTAAATATGAGATGTATGAGACTGCTTATCAGCTACTGTTTTACAGTAAACTTTTTCTTTGTAAGTAGAAATAGTACACTCTTAACAATAAAAAGTATTGGGTAGTAAACACATAAACCAGTAGCATAGTTGTTTATTATGTATTATGTGCTGTATGCAATTATATGTGCTATACTTTTATACAACTGGCAATGCAGGTTTATTTATACACCAGCATCACAACAAACATGGAGCATGTTGCCCTACAACTTATGATGTCACTAGGTGATAGGAATCTTTCAGCTTCATTATAATCTTTTTTGTTAATCAACCAAGGATATTTTTCCATTGATTTTTTTTTAGAGGGGGGGGAATAGGGGGAGGGGAGAGACAGAAACATCGCTGAGAGAGACACATTGATTGGTTGCCTCCCTTAACACACCCCAACAAGGGCTGGGAGTTGAGCCTGCAACTGAGGTGCATGGCTTTGACCAGAATTGAACCTGGGACCCTTTCTGCCGACACTCTATCCATTGGGCCAAACTGGCGAGGGCTCCATTATAATCTTATGGGACTGCCATCATTTACTAAAACATTGTTTTGCAGCTATGACTATAGTCTTGTGTCTGGATTCTATTTTGAAATTCTTCTTTGCTCTTTGTGTGGGTGGAAACTTTGCATTCAATGGGGTGTTGAGTTAGTGTGTAGGTTGATATGTGAAAATTTAGTAACTGGGTACACATGAAAATGTGTGGCTGGTTATGTTCAATTGGTTCAGTAAAAAAAGAAAACGACAGCTTTCGGGATATCATGAACATCGATATCTTTCGTTTCTGAATGCTTTTTATCATACAAATGTAAATTTGAAATGGGAACATAAGAAACTTTCTAGGAAATGAATACTTAATTTTTAAATATCCTGTAAAAGCAAATGCTTTGTAGTGATTTATCAGTTTTAGTTTGTATAGCAGTATTTATTGTTCATTTAAAATTTTATTTATTTATTTATTTATTTATTTATTTATTTATTTATTGTAGAAAAGCAAGCAAGAATTTATTGACCACAGCAAAAATATATGTAGGACAGTGAAACAAGGAAGGGCATTAAAGAAGCAACAGGAGAGCCTAGGCTGGGCTGCTTTGGCTCACTGGCAGGTCAGAGAAAGGGGGCCTTGGAGACGGGTTCAGGGGGTTAGCCCAAGACTAGCTGACACTGCCCATTGCTCTCCTGGTTACAAGCCTCATGGAGTCCATTAGAAGTTAGGGGGAAGGAGAGAGAGAGGGAAATGGCATGGATCTGCTCCCTGGAGGGAGAGTGCCCCTATTACATATTTTTATATATTCCAGAGGAAACATTTTTTTTTTTAGTAGATATTGCTTTGAAGTTGTTTGCAAGTTGAAATATAAGTGAAATTATATAATCATATCCTGGATCTGATCAGCATCTCTAAGTGTCAAATGAGTGGGTAGTACAAGGACAATGTACCCCCCCCCAATGCAGTCATCAGTGGATTGTGTGCTCATTGTGAATAGGTTGGTGTTAAAATGGAGTGTTTCGAGAAAAATATAGGCAGTAGAGTGAGATAATATACCGTTGAGGTAAAGCAAAAATACATGGACACATAGCAGTATACATTCTGTAGATCATTCAAATTAGAAGCCACTAAATGCAATGGAATAGTTTTCTGTGGTGGGGTTAGGGGAATAGTGGGGGCAGAAGGGTAAATAAAAGGAAGGATATATGAGATAACTTGAGGAGCTCTCTTGGGAAGGCCTGACTGAATGAGCTGTGGTCAAAGCAGAAGATCCATGCAAGATTAGGGAGCTCTTCAGGCCACTGGGGATTTGTTGTAGCCTGACCCATCTCAGAGCAACTGCCTGCTTGGTGGTCAGGATCCAGGGCTTCCCTGACCTCAGACTCATCTTCTATAGGATGGCATATTAATGTCTACCCACTGGCTTTCAGTGAGGCTTAATTTAGATGGAAAAGGTGTTGGTTTTTGACACAACAAATCCTGCAGTCAAGAATTTATCTAAAGGAAATACTTGTGAAACACGCAGTAATAGCAGCCTGACAGCTTTGGGGTGAGGAGGGTGGAGTGAGGGAGCAGAGAAGGGGGGAGAGGAGGGCTTGCAAAACACTATAAGCTTTATATTGAAGACAGTTCACCCAAAGAACAAGCTGCTAATGGAACTTGTAATACATATTTCTGGTTTAAATGAAGTTTCCAAAGCATGACAGATCCATTACGAACACTCAAGTTCTGTCTGGGAAACCATGTGTTGTATTTAGATTGAAAATTTAAGATTGTATTTCCTATCTTGTTTCTGGTTGGTTTAATCTACTTTTAAGCTGTTCTTTTTCTTTTTCTTTATTTTAAAATATATTTTATTGATTTTTTTTTACATAGAGGAAGGACAGAGAGTCAGAAACATTGATGAGAGAGAAACATTAATCAGCTGCCTCCTGCACTCCCTTCTGGGTATGTGCTTGCAACCAAGGTACATGCCCTTGACCAGAATCGAACCTGGGACCCTTCAGTCTACAGGCCGATGCCCTATCCACTGAGCCAAACCAGTCAGAGCTAGGCTCTTTATAGTGTATCAGAACAGCAGTTTCTTTTCCTGAATCCTTACCAGGGACACCCCATGGCTATTAGGGTTCATTTCCTATGTCCGTATACTAGTGCTTCCACATCTTGAACCTGTGCAGGAATCACTGTGGGAGGGTGGGTTCTTGATAAAATACAGGTTTGGATTCTGTCAATCTGGGGCATCTCCTCAGAATCAGCATTTTTGACGAAGCTCCTGGGGATACTGAACATAATTTTTAGAAATTGATTTATAATATTATATACATACAGCAAAATTCACCCTTTCTGGTGTGTAATTCTATAAGTTTTTTACAAACAAGGTCATGGAACAACCACCATAATAAAAACAGAACAGCTTCATTATTCCCCAAAATTCTCTAGTCCTCTTTTGTTGTCAACCTTTCCTTCACTCTCATACCCTGGCAGTCCCACTGTCCGTTCCCTGTCTTACAGTTTTATCTTTTCCAGAATGTCATGTAAGTGGTATTTTGAGCCTGGCTTCTTTCATTTAGCAATATGCATATAAGAGCTATCTAAATTATTCTATGAATGGTTTGTTCTTTTTTATTGCTAAATAGTATTTCATTGTGTGGGTGTGTCATGGTTTGTTTATCCAGTCACCTGTTGAAGGACATTAGTATTTCCAGTTTTTCCATTATGAATTAATCTTTAATTAAAATATTTTGGAACTTTAGAAGAAATATTATTCTTTTTCATTATTGTTTTAGGCGACATCACTCAGAAAGGATATGAAAAGAAAAGGGCAAAGCTGCTTGCACGTTTCATACCACTTCTCCAAGGTAAGCTCAATACACTCAATTTTGTATCAATTATATTGTCTCATAAAACTTGGTTTTAAAACTTAACATTGGTATGTTTCCTATTTTTTCTGTATTTCCTATTAAGAAGGTTTGGGTGAATAATGTGTCTAATATTTAATAATAAGATCTAAAGGCATAGATTATAATTTATAGCTCTGGTTTGGTATAGATCTCATTCCCAAATAAGATTTATTTTATTTTCATGAATATAGAACATGATTATTTTTATGATTATAGTAAGGAACATTTTCTTACTTAGGTTTGAAACAAATATTGTAAAGATGTCAGTTCTTCCCACCTAAGATTGACCTGTAGAGTTAGCACATTCATCATTTCATCAGATTTTTTTGTGTGTGTGTGTATGTAATTTAACAATCCAATTCTAAAATTCATATACAAATTTAAAGGGCCAAGGGATTCAAAATATGCTCAAAAGAGAAGAATGAGGTGGAAAGATTTGCCCTATCAGGGTTTGAAGAATGGATGTCAAGCATTCATTCATCAGTAAGACAGCGTGACTTGGCACACAGGTGGATAGCTGGATGAACAGAGCAGAACAGGGAGCTCAGGCACAGATGTGCATGTGGCAGACCAGGTTTATGGTAAAGACAGCATTGCAGGTCATGATGCTGGCCCAGTTTCTTAGCATGTGTGAGACACAAAACATTGGACACAAAAATCAGTTCCATTTTATGATAGGTTTTCATGTGGAAATCGTATAGGAAATTGTCACCATCTCGAGATTGGAAGGATTTCTTAAGTCTCTAAAACTACAAAAAGCTGCAACTATAAAGTAAAATGTTAGTAACTTGGACTCCGTTAAAATTAGGAATTTTATTTTATCAAAAGTTATCATGAAAAGATTACAGACAAGCCACTGAATGGAAGAAGAGAAGTGGAACACAAATAACTAAAAGCAGCATTGTCTGAAAGAACTTTCTGGGATAATGGAAGTGTTCTGAGGCTATAGTGTCCACTGCACTGAATACTAGCCACATAGACCTCTGGGAAGTGTGCATTATGGCTAGTAGTGGGAGACTGAATTTTTAATTTAATTTTAATTATTTTAAAAGTAACCAGAAAGTTATCCAACATGATTAAAATAGAAGGAGCCCAGTAGAAAAATGGGCTGAAGACTTGAATAAGCATTTCATAAGAGGGAACCTTAATGGTCAGTGAGCAAACGAAAGGGGCTCAACCTGAACAATAATCAGAAATGCCAACTAAAGCCTAACCTATATCTGATTGTGGGAGAGGTTTCAGATTGTGGGAGTGTGGACAGCTGGTGTTACCTGCTACAGTTGAAGAAGTCATAGTTAATCTGCAATTCTCCTTCAGGTACGCAAGTGCCCTCGAGAAACTTTGAAGGTTTGCCTGTGTTTGCCTGTGCACAAGAGTGTATGCTATATCCTTCAACTGCCAAAAAAACTTGAATACTAACCAACAGAATTCATATAAGGGAAAGCTGAAGATCTGCATATATCCGCAAGGATGAAACCCATAAACACATGGGGGAAGAGGATAAAAGAAACCACTGCAAAGGAAAATAGGCAGTATAAGTTAAAAACATCCCAAACTGCACTATTTTGGAATCTTTATGTAGTTGGTAAAAAAAAACAAGGAATAAGTTTTCATTGAAGTCAGCATGCGGCTTCATTGTGGAGTGAGACTGCAGGGTATCCTGAGGCACTTGGGTGTTTATTTCTCTTTTTCTTTTGTTTCAAATCTTTATTTCAGGCTTCTTGATTAAAATTTTTTTTCTTTATTGATTAAGGTATTACAAATGTGTCCTTATCCCCCCAAGCAATATGGTTTTTACATTGATTGTTTCCTTATAATAATTTTTAAATTGAAAACATGCTTTAGTGTGATATATTTTACAGTCAGCAACAAAAAGAATAGTGAGGAGTCTCTTTATATTCTGACATTCATTCCTCCAAAATAAAACAAAAACAACCTCTCTGTAAAATTGGAATTTAAGGAAAGGATGGAAACACTTGACAGCCCATTTGCAAACATGGACAGCTGCCTTCACACTGGGTGATCACATACTGTAGCGTTTCCATCCCATGCAGGGTGAGACGGGAATGCTCACTGTGCCCATTCTTAGGCCATTTCTTTTAGTGGTCACTGCCAGTGCAATGCAATGGGAAACAAAACAGGATAAACATCTTCAGTTATAGATGGTGTTATGTTTGTTATACCTTGAAAATTCAGGTGACTGCTTATTAACTATTAGAATTAGCAAGAGTTTTGTATTTGATATAAGATAGATATGTAAGAATCTATAGCTTTTCTCTGTAGGATTTTTGTTAATGAAAAAAAAAACCTACTTATAATGGCAATGAACTTTCAATTGTTTATTAATACATTTATCAAGGAAGCCACAGAACCTATGTTGGGGTCATAAAATTTATTTGAAAGAAATAACCAAGATACTAAAATAGAAGAAACACCAAGGTCCTAAATGGAAAAATGTAATATTATAAAATGGGCAGTTTCCAAATTAATGTGTGAACATAATGTAGGCCAGTAGCTGATTCCACACACCCTTCCTTTTTCCAGGCCCTTCATAACTTGATTGGAAATAATAACCCATTTGAAGGAAAGTTCTGAGAGTAGCCAGTACATCTTTGAAAAGGAATACAGAGAGAAAGAACTGGCCCTCAAGATGTTAAACATGACTGTGTGCACTTAGTTGTCACACAGGAGGGTCTTGGTGCAACAACAAAAAGAATAGTGAAGAGACTCTTTATATTGCTATTGGCTTTGTTTCTTGTGGTTGAATAAAATTACTCTACGTTCATATTGGAGTTGAGAATGGACAGAACTTGATGTGCTGTGGATTATAAAAACAAGTGTGTTGCAAATTGATGTACATGCAAATAGACAAGAAAATCAGTGGAAGAGAAAGGAGTCTAGCAATGACTCAGGAACATTCAAAGTGGGGAGACAACAGAGCTGGGATCCTCTTCCTCTCCATTGTTAGTGAACATAGACTTCAGGACTACCCCTCTAAATTGTAAGATACTATAAAATTCATTTCAATAACCATTGAGTGGAGGTTATAAGATAGGAGACCTAGACGTTGGGGAGGAAAAGAAAAACTGGTATAATTGGTCCCTAGAAATGAAAATATTTCAAATTGACTGAGCTGCCTACCACCAGCTCAATGCAGGGCATTGTCCCCAGTAGAACAGAGCTTCCTGCAGTTCTTTTGAGGGGCTTATTAGCTGGGTGAAATGAATAGAAATTCAGATCAGTGGAAATATGAATGGGCAATAAGCATTATGTTCAACTTTAACAGTAGATAGGGAAATGTAAATTAAAGTGAACAATTTTTCTCCTATCAGCTTGCCAAAATTCTAAAACTTTTTATAGCATGCATTGCTAACAAGGATGTGGGGAAATGATACTTTCATACATTGCTGTGAGAGTGCGAATTGCTGTAATCTTTTTGGAAAGTTACTTCTTGATATCTGTTAAAATAAAAAATATACCTATTCTGTTATCCATTAATTTATTAATGAGTTTTGTATCTTTGTTGAATAAATGAATCTATCTGAAAAAATCAGAGTTCCCATAATTTGGAATATAAGTCTTAGGGATGTCCATTTGCATGTACATCAATTTGCAACAAACCTGTTTATAATCCACAGCACATCAAGTTCTGTGCATTTTCAACTCCAATATGAATGTAAATTAATTTTATTCAACCACAAGAAACAAAGCCAGTAGCAATACTGATTAGTTTGCTATGGATGCACATGTATATGTATGTGTATGTATGTACGTGGATGGTCAAATTCTGAAGAGCTAAACATTGATTTCCAGAAGAGTTTCCATTTTCTAGCACTAATAACTGACACCCAAAAATGTAGTCTTGAAACCAACAGTGACAGCCTCTTTCTGCTCACATCTACAGTTTGGCTGTGCTGGAGGGCAGCTGCATCCTATCCACAGAGCCAGAGCCTGTATATTGGGGGCTCCCCAGCCACAGCTATGGTGTTGGTGCTGGGAGACTTGGGGCCAAGAACAGGGCTCCTGTGCTGCCTCTATCCCCTTCTCTCTCCCTTTGTTCTCTCATGTGTCCTCTCTGTGTTGTCACTGAGAAGGACATGTTGACACAGGTAGTATGTGTCGTTTTTCATGACTGGCCTCGGAAGTCATATAACATCACTCCTGTTACACTATGTCCGTTGGATAGTCACTGACTACCACGGTCCAAGGCAGGGATAGACTGCCTCTTTTCTGGGAGCAGTAAGGCCTGGAGGAGCCAGTAGGACTGAAATCCTGCTGGTTACTTTTATGAGATGTTTTGAACCAAAGGCTAAATTAAGCTGATTATTTTGATGATGCACAATTGAAGGCTTTTCTTTGTGCTGTTCTCAAATATCAGCAAATGAGTTCTCAGATAATACCAGGGGTTTTGTTTAATGACCCTGCACACTTGTACCCCATTCCTTGACTCATCACATGGTGTCCTGAGGACCTATGTAGTCAGGGCGGTGGCCATGAGTATAGAGAGCCATCAGCATGTTGGGTGTGAAGACATTGAGCATGGGCTGAGGCAGTTGGGCCTGAGTCCGAACACTGTGATCTGCTGTTATCATTGTCATCTGTGCCTCTCTCTTCTCTTTCTCCACCAATCCACTTATTTTCTGCCTGTGTCTAGGGATGATTGGTGACACTCATGATTGTTTAGTGGGCTGTTTCTCACTGAGTGTACTGATACCATGGACAGTATCAGGAAACCTGACTCAGATCATTTCAGATTCAGGAAATGTTTAGGTGCAGAAATACACTTTCAAAGGACTTTCTCTAGAATCTGCCTGAGCAGCTGCATGTGTGATGCTTACGGGGCTCAGGATTGGGCTGTGTGATGGTCATCTTTCCTGCGAATGGTGGATGATGACATAAGCCTGGGTTGGCTGCTGTGAGGAAAGAGCTGGAAGTGGGCATTCATGGCTTCCCCTTGATCTCCTGACTTGGTCTTTAGGGTGTGAAGGCCAACATAGGGTGTGTGTGCTCAAATAATTGTTTTTGGTATAGTGTGTGCTATTTAAAATGGGCTTTTCCACAATTGGAAAAGTAAATGGTGTCACAAGACATACTATACAATTGTGTTTCAGGAGTGGACACATCACTTCAAGCAGAGCCTAGGATCCCGGGGCCCTCACAAACCATGGCTGCAGCATCTAAGCAGCAGAAGCCACGGCCCACCAACTCACGGGATGAGCGCTTCCGGTCAGGTAGGGATCAGAGGCAGCAGACCTCCACTCTCCACTCTAAGTCTTTGGGTTATTTCTTTCCTCCTAAAAATGTCTGCTGAAGAAATTATTTTCACTTGAATGATAGACATATGACATATGAAAAGATGCTCAACAGCACTAGTCATCAAAGAAATACGAATTAAAATTACAATGAGATATCACCTCACACCTGTCAGAATACTTATCATCAATAAATCCACAAATAGCAAGTGTTGGCAAGGATATGGAGAAAATGGCACTGTTGTGCACTGTTGGTGGAAATGCAAAAAATTAAAAATGGAACTAACTACCTTATAACCCAGTGATTCTACTTCTGGGTATATGTCTGAAGAAGCCCAAAACACTAATTCCGCAGAATATATGATCCCTGTGTTTGTTGCAGTGTTATTTACAATAGCCCCAAAATGGAAACAACCCAAGTGCCCTTCAGTAGAAGAGTAGATAAAGAAGTGGTATATGTTATTACTCAGCCATAAAAAAGGAATGAAATTTTGTCATTTTCAATAGCATGGATGGATGTAGAGAATATTATGCTACGTGAAATAAGTCAGTCAGGGAAAGACAAATACCATGTGTTTCACTTATATGTGGAATCTAGAGAACAGAATAAATGAACAAACAAAATTGAAACAGACTCATGGGCACAGAGAGCAGACTGATAGTTGCCGGGAGATGGAGGGATTGAGGGACTGGGTGTAAAAGATGAAGGAATTAAGTTGTAGAATCAAAACAGTCACAGGGATGTATAGCCTAGGGATTATAGTAACTATGTATGGTATCAGGCAGGTACTGGAAAATTCCAGGGGAGCGCTTTGTAACATATATGATTGTCTAACCAATATACTATACCCCTGAAACTAATACAAAATATTATTGCATGTAAATTATATGGAAAATAAAATAAAATAAAATTCTAAATGGCCATTTTTCTTAAGAATATCTAAAAAGAGCATTAACATTTTTTTTAAAATCAATCTTTATTGTTCATATTATTACAAAGGTTCCTCATTTCTTCCCCCCTCCACCAGGTTCCCACCCCACCCTCCGTCCCCTCTCCATCCCCCATTGTCCTCATCCATAGGTGCAGTTTATGTTCAGTCTCTTCTTCCCTCCCTTTCCCCAATAGTAAATCCCTTTTCAGATAGTAAATCAGTTACTTAGCATTTTCTCAAATCAATAATACGTCCACATGCCCAATGATACACTTCACACAAAAGACATTTCCCAATAGGTCCACCTGCCTCATCCAGGCCCCACCCAAGGCACTCACAGATCAACACCCCAGCCCTAAACTAACTCAACACATCCAGATCTAAGCCTTCATCACTTGATTCAGCAGACCCTCAAATTCCCACGAAAGTTTCCAGCCATGTCTGAGAAGCAGCCGTAGGGCAGGGGCAGGCAAGAAGCGAGCTGTTCCGGGCCTGGCTGCTCAGGGCCTGGCCTCTGTTGCTCTGGTTCATTCCACAACCAGCTGCTCCGGGTCTGGTCACTGCCGCTCCCAACCTAGTTGCTCTGGACTTGGCTGCTGCTGCTCCGGGCCTGGCCGCTCCCAGCCTGGCAGCCGCTGCTCCGGGCCTGGCCGCACCCGACCCGGCTGCTCCGGGCCTGGCTGCTCCCAGCCTGGCAGCCGCTGCTCCAGGCCTGGCCGCTCCCAGCCTGGCAGCTGCTGCTCCGGGCAAGAGCATTAACATTTTAAATGTTATGTCAATAAAGATGTATGATGAAGGGATTTGAGAAACTTTTCATCAGATAATTTCTTACCAAATTAATATAAAAAATCTTTCTCACACTGATAATTGTTCTTTTCTGATAATTCTATATAATAAAGAGCTAATATGCAAATGGTTGTCATGCCCTCACACCATCAGACACTCAATACTGGGGAGAGAGGAATGGGGACCAGCCAGGCACAAATGAACTTGTGAGAGAAGAGTGGGGACTAGCCAGGCACAAATGAGCTTGCGAGAGAGGCATGGGGACCACCCAGACTGCGGCCCAGGAGAGGGACAAGCCTCCCGTCCTGCAATCCTGGGCGCCTGTGACTGTGGTCTGGGGGAAGCCTGCCCTGGTCCTGGGGGCCTGTGACCAACCAGAGGAGGGAATCCTGGGTCCTGGGTGTGGGGTGAGACAGGCACTTAGGGGCGATCAGGCAGGCAGACCGAGGAGTTAGGGCAATTAGGCAGGCAGACAGGCAAGTGCTTAATACTAATTGTGGCTTAATACTAATTGTTGAAATCAGTAGTGTTAGTCCTCCAAGTTTGTTCCTTGTTTTTGATCCCATGTATGTAATGTGTCTTTCTTTCTCTGGAACTTGTAATATTTTCCTCTTTATCACTGATTTTGAGTGATTTGATTATGATGTGTCTTGGTATAGTTTTCTTTATGTTTATTGTGCTTTGTTGAGTTTCTTGGATCTGTTGGTTTATACCTCTGTTGTATTGATATTGTCTAGATTTTTAGTTCTGGGTTATTTTACCCGATTTTGTTGTTTCTAAGATACTAATCAAGTTTAAAGTGTGTGCTCTGTCTATTGTATGGGCTCCTGGATTTGTCTCCCTCAAGCACCTTCTTCTACAGAGTAATGTCCTTCTATTTTTTTGATCCTTCAAGATGGTTTACTTTTTCTCTGAGAGTTTTAAGAACTTTCTTGTTGCCATTGATGTTTGTAAATCTCTTTTAGTATGTTTAGGTGTGAATTTTTCATCTTTTTTTTTTTTTATTAGCACTTTATCAGCCATTTCATTGTAAGGTTTTTAATTTTTTTCTACTTTTTATTTTTTTAATCCTAACCCAAAGACATTTTTTCCATTGACTTTTTAGAGTGAGGGAGAAAGAAAGGAGGGAGAGAGAGAGAAGAAAGAAAAACATTCATGTTAAGAGAGAGACATCAATTGGTTGCTTCCTGCACGTGTCCAAACAGGGGCCAGGGACAAACCTGCAACCAAGGTACTTCTTGGTCGGTAATTGAACCTGAGACCTTTTGGTCCAAGGGCTGATGTTCTAACCATTGAGCAAAACTGGCCAGGGCTTAAATATTCTAAAGACACCTTGTTGGAGAAAAAATTTAACTGTACAAAAGTGGTCTCATGCACTTCTTTTTAAAATTATTATTATTTTTAAATTCTCATCCAAGAATATTTTTCCATTAATTTTTAAAGAGAGTGGAAGAGAGAGGGAAAGACAGAGAGAAACACATCGATTGGTTGCTTCCGGCATGAACCCTGACCACGGCCAGGAAGGAGTCTGCAACTGAGGTATGTGCCCTGAACAGAACCCAGGACCCTTAGGTCCGCAGGCCGACGCTCTATCCACTGATCCCAACTGGGTAGGGCTGTCATGCACTTCTTTTTGTTCTTAGTATGTTTTTCTAGAGGAGCAGGGTAAATTGTTTAGAGTAGTTTATGCTGACTCCTGGAAACATATTTAAGTTCATTTGTTTGATCTTATTTTCAATTTGGGGGATTTCTTTTTTATTTAGTTTTCATTTATAACTGTGAAAAATATTCATACATAATAGTTCTGAAGTAAAATCTACAAACAAAGGAATATTTAAAGAAACCTAAGACAACATGTGGGACCCATGAGTAGATACACTCAGTGAAAACCATGAAACTTAATTTTGTTACTTCATAACCAATTTTATAAGAAGTGTTTTGTCTGCTTTTTCTATATAGATGTTCACACTGAAGCCGTGCAAGCAGCTTTGGCCAAATACAAAGAGAGGAAGGTGCCTCTGCCTTCGAAAAGACGGTCTATTCTTGTGCATTCTTCTGTGGAAACCTGCACCCCACCAGGTACTGATAAATCTGGGTTGGGAATGGCCCACAGGTTTTTCTCATGCTTGGTGTCATAACTTAATTTCCCAATGAGTTGGAATATCCTTTTTTTAAAAAAAATATATATATTTTATTGATTTTTTTACAGAGAGGAAGAGAGAGGGACAGAGAGCTAGAAACATCGATGAGAGAGAAACATTGATCGGCTGCCTCCTGTACACCCCCCACTGGGGATGTACCCGCAACCAAGGTACATGCCCCTGACCGGAATCGAACCCGGGACCCTTCAGTCCGCAGACCAACGCTCTACCACTGAGCCAAACCTGTTTCGGCTGGAATATCCTTCTGACCTGTAGTATAGAGTGTGTAGATTTTAGTTGTGTGTATGTGTTTTTTTTTAATAGAGATTTTCTTTTCTTTTTTAAAAAAAATATATTTTATTGATTTTTTTACAGAGAGGAAGGGAGATGGATAGAGAGTTAGGAACATTAATGAGAGAGAAACATCAATTAGCTGCCTCTTGCACACCTCCCACTGGAGATGTGCCTGCAACCAAGGTACATGCCCTTGACCAGAATAGAACCTGGGACCTTTCAGTCCACAGGCCAACACTCTATCCACTGATCCAAACTGGTTGGCTTGTTTGTTTGTTTTTTACTAAGATGGTATTTATGTTTTTTAAGGAAGAGATGAACCTAAAATGAGTACTCAGTAGAATGCAAGGGTTTCCTGGATTAAAATTTTTTAAATTATTCACTCATTTACTGTGTTGTTCCCAGGCCATAAATGGGAGAGTAGAAGGCTATCTAGAGGGTTTTTTAATTTTACTTCGTTGTTACTATGATTAGAAATGAAACCTTTCAATGGAGTTTCTCTTTGTCAGTAATGTTTTTAAACTATTACTATAAAAACAGTACTATTAAACTATCCCATGGTGTTGGTTTAATGACTTCATATTCATGTATTTCTGCTGCCTATGTTATTAAATAAGTCCTGAAACTGGTGACTAAAAGCCAACACCAGATTCACACAAGATAATTTAGTGGTTCTGATGATGTTTACTTGATAAAAAAGGAAAAGTTTTTACTATTAAAAAAAAATATTAGAAATGTCTGTCAAATTATTTGTTTTACTAAGAATATGATTATAGATACTACCCAATTTTTGAATAACTTTAAAATAATTGTGAAACCTATAATAAAATGCAGTTATGAAGACTTGATAGACCCTTATTCCAAGTTAATTTTATTGACTGAAGCAATTGTTTTGGGGAAGGAATTCTTTCAAGAGCTCATTCCTACTGTGCAAGCATGTCAAACTCGCAGCTGGCAGGCCACATGCCTTGTTTATTTAACAAGCTTGTGATGCAGATGAATAGGATAAGGCCTGGAGGATGTAGGCTGCAGCCTCCACAGCCACTCACCTCAGGAGGTGAGCTCAACCTTCCCTGTGGGTGCCCAGCCGTGTGAAGGTGGTGTGCGGCTTGGACGTCCTTTAGCAGCACTATGTTCACAGAGCACTTGGAGTGTCCTTTGATATTTGGGACACCACCAAGGAATGTGCTGAAGCCATTTAGGAATTGGGATTGCCTTCACTCCCAATGTATTGTGTCCTGAGACTAAGCCCTCTGGGAGAAGCTGGGGTCATGAAGCCAGCTTTCCCAGGTAGGATCCTGTGGGTTTTACAGTTGGTTGATGCAGGCCCTTCTAGATTGAGGGTGACCTTTGAGATGACCCCTTGGCCATGTGTGGGCACAGCGCAGGCTGGGAGGCCTGAGTGCCAGTGTGGGATCCTGCCCTCCTTGGTGACCCATACCTACATCATGCCTGTCGTCGTTATTTTGACCACAGACACGTCATCTGCCTCAGAAGATGAGGGCTCTTTACGGCGACCCGGGCGACTTACCTCCACTCCGCTCCAGAGCCATTCCAGCGTCGAGCCCTGGCTCGACCGGGTCATTCAGGGCTCCTCCACCTCATCCTCCGCATCCTCCACCTCATCTCACCCGGGAGGGAGACCTGCCGCCGCACTCGCAGGCCTCATGGCCCACACCCACATAGGTTAGTAACAACTGCTGTGGCCCTTTAGGATAGGGGCACCTCTACACTCATCAAGACCCACTTCTCTCTTTCATCTGGAAAATGGCTTTTGGTAACAGAAGTGGTTCTTGATGCTTCTGTGATTTAGTGATCACAGATACTGTGACCTGTGGGCCTTTTGAGGGAAGTGCATGGCATTTCTTGCCGCCTCTTGCTCTGGAGGGTGGGCTGGCACAGGTGGCCGGTGCAGGACTGATGATCAATTAGGTGACTGTGGCTGTTCCTGATGGTCACCTGTGGCCTGCAACCTAGACATTGCTCTTTACTTATGTGCAGAGCTGGAGTCCATGAGCTTGGGAGGTCCAGGTTAAACAATCCCTCAACCTGAATAGGGATGTCAGTTAAGGTTAAGTCATAAAGATCCATGGAACTTTTCCAAATCATTCAATCTTTAAAAAGTATTATCGTGCCCAAACCGGTTTGGCTCAGTGAATAGAGCATCGGCCTGTGGACTGAAAGGTCCCAGGTCAAGGGCATGTACCTTGGTTGCAGGCACATGCCCAGTAGGGGGTGTGCAAAAGGCAGCTGATCGATGTTTCTTTCCCATCATGTTTCTAGCTCTCTATCCCTCTCTCTTCCTCTCTGTAAAAAAAATCAATAAAATATATTTTTTAAAAAAAGTATTATCGTACCCCTCTGTTTTATAGATGTGTAGGGGACAGAAAGTTAGGTTGATAACCGACCTGAGATTGCAGAGCTGGCTTAGTGTTGAAGCCAGGCTGACAGTTTTCTTGATTTCTTTTTATTTTCTTTGCTGTTAGATTCTGTTCTGCTAACACTGAAACGGTGCACCTTTGACAGGCTGGTGTTTTCAATGGGGTCACAACGGATAGGCTCTGGGCTCAGATGCTGAGCTTTTTCATGTAAAATCTTGGCCATTTGACTGGACTGAGAATAAATGGTTGGCTGGATTGGAAGTAAATTGGATGTTTTAAGTGGCCGACAGCGTTAGTCTCACCATCCTCTGAGGGGATGCCACTGAGTCTTTTCATTTTAAAATTTGTTGCATCAGTGCATGAAGCACATTTCTGTTGAGCATGTCTCTTCAATTGTGATGTGAGTCTTACATGAGAACTCACATGCCACACCGTGCTTCCAGCACACAGAGACCTCTGGGTGGCGGGGCAGCAGTCAGGGCTGCCCCAGGGCAGCGTGTTTCAGGAGAAAAGATCCCTTTGGCAAACAGCCTGCCCACATTGTTTTGGTAGCTTTCCTAGGTGTCCTACCAGTGGCCACCGGTTACTGCCCACCTTTCCTCAAGGAGATCGACAGTGGATAGTTTGAAAAATAGTTTTTACACTGATGTATTAAAAATTGCCCACAGGTCAGAATGTTTAGCCAGTCAGCCTTCAACTTTCCAGTTGTGGTTCTTTCAACAAAGCATTTGGTTATAAGTGTGTTTGAGTGAGGTGTTTTCATTCTTGGAGAGGCTCTGATTGTGAAAATTCATGAGGGGGGTTTAATAACCTCTCAATGAGGACTCCTGGCCTCTGTCGCCCACCCCCCTTGCTTGACTTTTCATACACAGTGTGATTAATTCTAGTAACTTCTAAAAATTTTAACTTAGGCTCTGTTTGATACATACTGTGATTATAGCCTTCATATACTATATGTTTACTGGGTATAGTTGCTTGAATCTCTGAATGTGAAAATACTCAATTTCTCTCTATTATAAAAATCATCCTTTGTTTTAGTGTCCAACACTAAATTGAGTTCTTCAATTTAGGTTAAGGAAAGAAATACAGAAAGAAGAAGAAAATTTAGATAAAAAATTTGAGGTAGCATGTATTAGATAAAAGATAATTTTAAAAATATATTATTTTCAATATTGGATTAAGGAAATCAAATACAGAAAACATTTGGATACAAATATAAATACATACATTTAATAGGTACTCTTTTATGCAACTATTTATTTAATAATGATTTTTTATTATTGAAAGTATTACATTTGTCTCCTTTCCCTCCCCATTAATCCCCCTCTTATGTCTGTTCTATGCAATTATTTTAGAAACTACTTTTGGTTAAGATTATCACTTATGCCTTTTTCATAAATACTGTTAAAATCATTTATTCCTTTTGTTAGATTTAGAAAGATGGGGAGATTTATGGCTGATTTCATAAACCTCAAGCTTTTTCAATGTTTATGAAAGCTCTATAATTAAAGTTAGATTTTCCCTCCTGCTGGTGTGGCTCAGTGGTTGAGTGTCCACCCATGAACCAGGAGTTTACGGTTTGATTCCTGGTTAGGGCACATGGGCTCAATCCCTAGGGGGGCATGTAGGCGGCAACCAATCAATGATTCTCTCTCATTATTGATGTTTCTATCTTTCTCTCTCCCCTCTTCTATGAAATCAATAAAAACATATTTATAAAATATAAAATTAGATTTTTCTAACTGCTATTTTCTGCTGTGTAAATAGTGAGTTTGTGTTTTCCTTCCATATAATTTCATATTTCTGCATATTTTAAAAATTTATTTCTGAGTTGTGAAATGATAGTTTGATTATCAGAATTTAAAATATTAGCATGCCATCTGATGGCAGGAGTATTCATTAGAAGATTAAACAGATTATAGGTCACCACTGACATAGGCTAATATCTATTTTACAAGTAGACAATATTTGCTCTAGTGTTATGGGAGGGCACACTTTCTGGTAGTTGTGCAGACATGGTGCCTTTTGTACTGGGAGACTCAACTGTAACTATAATGTGATAGCAACTTACAGTCAGCCAGCATTCTGAACAGATCGATATCTCTGCCATATAATGAAAATTCAACACAAAAATGTACATTCAAACAGTGGAAGGGAGTAACTTCAAACATTTTCTGTAACTAATTGTCTTTAAATAAATACATTGTAGTTTCTTAACAGTGAGATGTATTGAACTGGCCACGAGGGTAGTTTTTATCTTTGTAGGTTTATTCTTTGAAGCCTGCAAAGTCTTATGTCTTTGGGACATCCAATATACTCTTTGTGGGTGTGTGGGTTAGTCTTTTTTTTTTTTCCCCATAACATAATAAAGAATGGTTCAATAACAATTGATTTGAAATGTGTTTCTGCTTCATCGAGGGAAATTTCTGAATAAAACCTCATATGGCAGGCGAGTCCACTTGTGTCTGTCTGTGCTGTGATCAGTGTTTCTAGTCTGGATCCCTCATGCACACAGGTCTATGTACTGTGTCTGGGAACTGAAAGTTCACAAGGTCCCTGTGTGCCTTGGTCGATGAGAAAAACAAAATTAATTGGACTAGCATGCTCCTTGCTTAGAGCTCAGCTAGAGAGGCCTCATTCGAATGGGGTTTAAACAGCAACTTATTGGTCTTCTGAATTAACAACACTTTTGTTTTGGATTTGTTTTTCAAAAGCAGATCTGCACTCTGCCCCTCCTGATGTCACCACTGGCCTTGTGGAGTATTCGCACTGTGAGCGTCCACAGCCAGCCCCTGTGAGAGGCGTCCCTCGGGGGTGCAGCGGACGCCTCCTGGACACAGCAGGTGGTGAGCATGTCTGTCTTTCTCCTTTAGACACGGCTGAGCACAGGTTCTTTTCAGGTACTAAACATCCCTTCATGTACTCACTGTAGCAAACCTGAGCCAGTCAGTAGTTATAACCCTTCAGTGCAGTAAACTGAGAACAGTGTGTGCAGTGCATGTTACCACAGAAAGCACCATGTGCAGAATGATCAGAAATATCTGTAAAATTGGTCCAGTGGACAAGGAGGGTAGGGAGGAGAAAACCTCCAAATTTCAGTTGAGTGTGAAAGGAGTTTGGATCTATAGTATTGTAGGAAAATGGAAAGTTCTTATTTGAACACAGTGTCTTCAGCAGATCAAGTCCTAGTGTGAGTGCACCCGCCTGCAACATGGCAGTCTCTGAGCTCACTGTCCTCAACAATCTGTGAAATGGACACAGCCTCACTCACAGTTCCTGATGTGCAGGCCCAGTGCTGTCAATGCAATTTCAGGGTCCTGCTTAACAGCTCTAATGTCTTATCAAAGTCATGTCAAGTTTTCTTTCCAGTGTGCTGGATTTGAATTGGAGAAAACTCCAGGGGCTCTCAGATTTAAGCCTTGATCATGTAATTTGATTCTTTTAAGCAGTAGGACAAATTTTGTTGAAGTCTTTTAGTTTGTTGTTCAAATGCAAAAGGAAAGTACTGAGTTAACTTGAAGCAGGCTTTGCATTGGTTAGATACATTTTTATTTGATTTATTTCTCTTTATATTTAAAAAAAAAGTTTAGCTGAGTTAAAATTGGCATATCTACCATTGCACATATTTAAAATGTGCAATTTTATAACTTTTTAAAGATATATGTACAACTGTGAAACCATTCATACAGTCAAGACACTGAACACATCCAGCCCTCATAAAAGTTTTTTTTTGTCAGACCTGCCACCCCTTTTTGGCTTCCCTTTAGGCAACCACTGATTTATTTTCTAGCTCTGTTGTTAGTTTGCATTTTCTAGCATTTTATGTAAATAGAATCATATAGTATTTACTCTTTGTGTCTGGATTCTTCCATTCTACATGATTATTTTGAGATTCATGGTTTTGCATGTATCAATAGTTCATTCCTTTTATTGAGGAGTAGATTGTTCTATGGATGTACAGTTTGGATAAATAGTTTATTTAACTATCAATATATATTTTGGTTGTTTCCAGTTTTTGGCTATTCTAAATAGAGTTTCTTTGAATATTTTTATGCAGGTCTTTGTGTGAGGTGTGTATTTTCATTTCTTTTGGGTCAACACTCAGGAGTGAATCATGTAGTAGGTCTGTGTTCAACTTTTTTTTTAATTAAAAAAATATGTTTTTATTGATTTTTAAAGAGAGGTCCAGTTGTTTCAGCATCATTTATTATAAACTAGAGGCCTGATGCACGAAGATTCGTGCAAGAATGGGCCTTCCTTCTCCTGGCTTCTGGCACCCGGGACCCAGGACTTTGCTCTGGCTGCTGCCTTCCGCCTTTGCTCTGGCCCAGAGCTGCCTTTCGCCTACGCTCCAGCCTGGAGCTGCCTTTCTCCTTGGCCACCGGCCCAGAGGCCTGGAGTGACCAGGGCAGGACAGAACACTTGCATTGCTGTCATCTTTGTTGCATCGATTTGCATATCCCCTCCTTATTGGCTGTGGGTGCCATCATCTTTGTTGTGAAGTGATGGTCAATTTGCATATTCCCTCTTTATTAGATAGGATACCATTCTGTTCCCAAGTTTCTTTGGCATTTAAAAAAATATTTATTTTTATTGATTTCAAGAGAGAGGGAGGGAGAAGAAGAGTGAGAAACATTAATGAGGAGAGAGAATCATTGATCAGCTGCTTCCTGCACATTCCCTACTGGGGATTGAGCCCACAAGCCGGGCATGTGTCCTTTACTGGAATCGAACCTGGGACCTTTCAGTCAGCAGGCTGACGCTCTATCCACTGAACCAAACCAGCCAAGGTATCTTTGGTATATTTAATGAAAATCAGTAGACCATATATGAGAGGAATCTATTTCTGGGACCTCTATGCTATTCAATTGCTATATTTGTCCATCCTTATATAAATAATAGCAACTTGTCATGATTACTGTTGTTTTATAATAAATCTTGAAGTAGTGTAGTTTGTCCTCAACTCTACTTTTCAACTTAAAATTTGCTTTGACTAGCCCAGTTCTGGTGGCTCACTGGATTGAGCATTGCCCCATAGATCAAGAGGTACTGGGTTCGACTCCCAGTCAGAGCACATGCCTGGATTGTGGGCTCAATTGCCAGTAGGGGTGTGCAGGAGGCAGCCAGTCAATGAGTCTCTTTCATCATTGATGTTTCTACCTCTCTCCGCCTCCCCCTTCCTCTCTGAAATAAATAAAAATATTAAAAAAAAAATATGCTTTGACTATTTCCCACCTCTTCTTTGTAGTGTCACTGCTCCATGGAGGACCAGCTCTGGGTGTTTTTTTCCTATTTGAGGATTAGATACTGCCTTTAGCTCATATTTATGAAAAACATTTGTAAAACAAAAATTTAGGGAGGAGAATGGACTTTTTCTCCTTCGTTGCCAGTTGGTCTCATGGCTGGCATAACAATACTATCTGGTTGTGTATCTCAACCCCATTCAGTCTGTTGTGCTATGACATGATGTGTGGTCTTTGGGAGCTCCACTGTGCTCTTGTGAGAGGAGGAGAGTGAAAGGGAAATGGTATTTTAATACGACTTGGGAAGGACAGTTAGCCCATGAACGGGGCTGCATAATCGAAAATCAGCCTATAACTTGACTCTAAAAACTAGTTGTTCCTCGGTATCTATAGAGGCTTGATTCCAGGACCTTCCACACACACCAAAATCTGCAATACTCAAATTCCCCATATCAATGAATATGGTCAGTTCTTTGCATCCACAGACAAAAATAGTGCAGGTATTTATTTTTAAAAATCTGTGTATAAGTGGATATGTGCAGTTCAATCCTGGGTTGTCCAAGGCCCAATTGTAGTTTGACCTCGTGAACTTCCTGAAAGGGTTTCAGGCATCCCCAGGGGCCCCTAGACCACTTTGAAAACCACTAGCTTAGAATAAGTTATAGTTTCTAAAAGGCATTCAGTATTTGTTAATGAATTAATCAATTCCAAAATGGGGCTAGTGCTTTTTATTCATGTAGTTAGTCACTGGACCTCATTTCCATGTCCTGTTCCCCAGAGGATGTGGCCTGTTTAACCTCAGAGTTCCTTTTCCCATGACAGGTGTCCCTGTGAACAGCAGAGTATCCTCCAAAATCCAGCAGCTTCTGAATACCCTGAAGAGGCCAAAGAGGCCTCCGCTGAAGGAGTTCTTTGTGGATGATATGGAGGAACTGCTGGAAGGTAAGCATCCTCAGATTTGGGCTCACGTATGTAAACAGGGTGACCATTACATCTGGAGACACAGGCAGATGTACATTCTACACGGGTTCTTATTGTGACGTTATGGCACAGTAAAGTGATATTCTCTCTGTTGGCAGCCCCTGTAGTCACCATGTGTGACGGTGAATTAGGTATCACATGGGTCTGCTAGCTTTATTTGAACTGGTGGAAAACTCATTGCTTATAGTTAAGACATTTAACATTTCCTTATGCCTCTGATCCACTGGTTAGTACTTTATAAGAACACTTCTAAGATTTCATTTTGCTTACATTATTTAAATTTTTATTTAAACTTTAAATCTGAAATACTCCTCTTCCCATGGTTTTAAAGTATTACATCTTCAGTATAGTTTTGGCTCCTTTTCAGAATTTTAGCCTCCTATTTGAGATATATATTTAGAAGAAAGAATATAGATTAATTTTTTTAAATTATCAAAAAATAGAAGTGTAGACTTTTAGATAAGGAACAGGAATAAATCCCAGTACAACATACAAGCATATGAATGTGTTAGAGCCACCAGGATACATGGCCAGCCCCTCAGCTTTCCCACCTCTTCTGTGTAGTGTCACTGCCTCAAGGAGGACCAGCTCTGGGTGTTTTCTTCCTAGTTGAGGATTAGATACTGCTTTTAGGGCATTGTTTCCCCTTTTAACTAGATAATGCCTTTCAAATTCAGAATTCAATCGTATGAATGCTTTTGAGAGCAGTCTTTCTTACACTAGGTCAAATTTTGGTTACATATCCACTGAAAATATAATAGGCCTTATTTTTTCTAAAACATGGTGATGGTTGTTTTGAATGCCCCAAGCAAAGTGGTGATTCTGCTCACTTTTACCCTTTATAATCAGGGACTAGTGCCTGTTTCTCAGGTGTCATCAGGGTTGTCCCTGTGATAACCTGGCCTTCACTGCTGCCACCCTGGGGACTGTCATGTTGGGTTAAGGTTACCAGGCTCCATCATTATTCATTATCCATTCTCCACCTGTCTTTGGTCAGTTGATCTATGACTTTTATATTGATAAGGAAATCTAATCTTTGTATTATTGGTACTTAAAAAAAACAATATTATAAAATATAAATGCTTAAAAATATAATATGTGCATGATACTATGAAATGTTGATTTAAAAATTTCAATTTTTGCTTACAGTTCAGCAACCAGATCCAAATCAGCCAAAGCCTGAGGGAAGCCAGATGGTAGTGCTGAAAGGGGAACCTCTGTCCTTGGGGACACCCTGGCCTCCGTCACTGCTGGCTGCCTTGCAGCGGTGGGGCACAATGCAGCCCAAAGCCCCCTGTCTGACCGCCTTGGACACAACTGGGAAGGCCGTCTACACCCTCACCTATGGCAAGTGTCAACAGAAGGCAATTGGCTGTGGTTTAGCTATAAAATAATACATGTGTCATACAAACAACATAGACATACAGTGGATGAACATAATAGAACAAATTCCTGAGAAACTAACACAACTGTTTAACAAATAGAACATCCCCTCACTTCAGGTGGCCATCTCAGACCTCTGCCTCTTCCTCCCACCAGAGGGGACACTGACTGATGGTGCCCGGCCACTGCTTTGGCTTCAAGTGTTCACATCTGTATATGCATTTCTGAACAATGGAGTTTAGTTCTGTCTAATTTTGAACTCTGCTTAAATGGAATTGTACAGTATGTACTTTTTGTGTTTGGCATCTTTGGTCTCATATTGTGTTTTTATGTAACAGATCATAAACATATAACCTGATGCACAGAGTAAATACTCAGCACTCAGCTGAGAAGCATTTCCAGGTTGCCAGGCTCTGTGTGTCCCCTCCAGTATGTACGTCATCCCACACTTTAAAGGCAAACTGTTGTGCTGACTGCTAACACCTCTGGCTTTACCTGACTTTGAGTTTTCTATAGATGGTATTACTTGAAAGGTGTCTGGGTCTGCACTCTTTTGCTCAGCATTGTTTGTGAGACTCATCTGTGATGTGTGTGAAGTGTAGTAGTTTATTCTAATTCATGGATGTTATTTTATTACTGTGCAGTAGGTGGACATTTGGTTTGCTTCCACTTTCGGGCTATCACGTATAGTGCTGCTATGAATATTCTCCTGTGGGTCTGCTGGTGAACATGCGGAGTTCAGAGCTTGTGCTGGTTAATGCAGAGGTAGCAGTGTCTAGCTTTAGATCATTCTGCCAGGCAATTTTCCAAGGCTTTTTTACTGTAGCGTCAGTCTTCATTCTCAGCAGCAATGTGTGCAGCCCCAGGTGCTCCACATCCTCGCCAACACTTGACATTGTCTGTTTATTTCATCTTAGCCTTTCTTCTGTGTTGTGATTTCAAGAAATGCCAATTGCATTTTCCTGATGACTAATAATGCTTTCATATGCTTGTTGGCTATTTGAATATTCTCTTTTATGAACTATCCAAATCTTTGTTTCATTTTTCTGTTTACTTGCTAATATTTTCTTGTTTATATTTACAGATACATGCCTTTTCAGATACATGTTTTGCATATATCTTCTTCCACTCTTTGTATTGCCTTTTAATTTTTAATTGTAGCTTTAGATAAATGAGAAGTATTAATCTAATTTACCTATTTTTTCCTCTACTAGAGTGCTTTTTTGTCCTTTTTTAGGAAGTCTTTGCTAAACCTAAGGACACAAAAACATTTTTCTACTATTGCTTCTAAAAACTTGTTTTACTTTTTACATTTGGGTGTTAAAATGCATCTGCAATTTAATTTGTGAAATGAGAGTCATTTTTTTTCCTTATGAATATCTATGACTCATTATCATTTATTGGAAAGCCAGTTCTTCAAGTATTGGGGTGGAAAGTGCACCTGTCGTTCTGTTTGCGGACTCTGTTCTGTTTAGTCAGTGTGCTATTTGTCCACACCTCCTGAATCACTGTAGTATTATGAGTCTCAGTATCTGGCTCAGAAGTCCATTAGCTCTGTGATTGTTCCTTAAGATTTCCTCGACTGCCCTTGAATTACAAGTAAACTTCAGAATTAGCTTGTCAGTTTCTGGAAAAATTCTTGCTGGGATAATGATTGCATTGCATTGAATCTGTAGTTCAATTTGAAGAAAATTAATTCATGAGTAGAATATTTTCTCCTTTTTTTAAGCCCTTTAATTTATTTCAGTAATTTTTTTTTTTTCAGTACAGAAGTCTTGAGCATCTGCCATTACTTATTTTTATTGGAATGATTACAATTTTTTCTACTCACTTGTTGCTTGCATATAGAAGTGCAAGTGATTTTTTTAAATGGTGACTTTGTACCTTGCCACAAACTAACTGATTTATTTTCTAATTCTTCTTCTTTTTTTTTTTTTTTTTAAATATATTTTATTGATTTTTTTACAGAGAGGAAGAGAAAGAGATAGAGAGTTAGAAACATCAGTGAGAGAGAATCATTGATCAGCTGCCTCTTGCACAATCCCTACTGGGGATGTGCCCGCAACCAAGGTACATGCCCTTGACCAGAATCGAACCCGGCACCTTTCAGTTCTCAGGTTGACGCTCTATCCACTGAGCCAGTCCGGTTTCGGCTGATTTATTTTCTTATTTGTCCATATATCTTTTGGATATCTGGTATACAAAATCAGTCCTCTGTGAACAATAACAGTGTCATCATGACCTTTCCAGGACTCAACCTTTAGTTTCTTTTGCCTGCTTCTGTATGAGCTAAAACCACCAGTACAAAGTGGAAAACTGGGTATTCTCGCCTCGATCTCTATCTTAGGTCATGAAGTTTGTCGAAGTTTTTTGTTTTTTAATATGTTTTTATTGATTTTTAGAGAGCGAGGAAGGGAAAGGAAGATTAAAAACATGGATGAGAGCCAAAACCGGTTTGGCTCAGCGGTAGAGCGTCGGTCTGCGGACTGAGGGGTCCCAGGTTCGATTCCGGTCAAGGGCATGTACCTTGGTTGTGGGCACATCCCCAGTGGGGGGTGTGCAAGAGGCAGCTGATCGATGACTCTCTCTCATCGATGTTTCTAACTCTCTATCTCTCTCCCTTCCTCTCTGTACAAAATCAATAAGATATATTTTAAAAAAAAATTCTATTCCTAAAAGTTTACTAAAAATTTTTCATCATGGATTGATATTGAATTTTTTTTTTTTGGGGGGGGGGGAGAGGGGCGTCATTGATATATGCCTTGATTTTCCTTAACCTACTTATTTTTTAAAATAAATCTTTATTATTGAAAATATTACATACGTTCCTTTTTTTCCTCCATTGTCCTTTCTCCTCCCACCCCCCATGACATTTAATTTTATCAAGTGCTTTTCCTCTTCTGTCAGGATAGTCATGGTTTCCCTCCCCTTCTCCATTAATTTAATGAATTACTTTGACTAATTTTCAAATGTTAAGAATATTTATATTCGTAGAATAAATCCCACTTGGCTATGATACCTTATCTTTTTAGTAAATGTCTGGATTTGATTTGCTGCTGTCTTGTTAAGGATCCTTGCATTTGTGTCCATTAGGGAGATTGGTTTGTAATTCTCTAAGAAAGGAACTTACTGTCCACTGGGAGGAACATGGTTTGTTAATGGCCACCACCTGTTGAATTCAGCTTTCAGGTCTGGTTTATGGTGTGCTTGGGTTAGCCCTAGGCAATACTAAGGAAGGTGGTGGTTCAGTGCCTTGTTTCTCTCAACCTAGACTCCCCTTATGAGCAGTCTACTTTGGATTACCCCGCTGGGCCTGCAGAGACTTTGTCACAGCCAAGCTATCTCCTCCCTGATCTCACCATGTGCCTTTTCCTTCACAAGTTTTACTCATGCCTGACTCTGTCGGCTTCTTGAAGAACCCACCTTCATGCTTGCATTCTTCTTTTCTTGCACTTTATTTCTACCCATGGGACACTCCAGGATTGTCTCTAAAGTCAGTAGCCATACTCTATTCTTTCCTTTGTCACATGGTCCCCTTTCTACCGTCCTGAATTTCCCACTGTAATCTCTCTTTTCGGCCTGCAGTTCTCTGTGTATGTATTTATTTTACTGTGCGTTTGCTGGTAGAGGAAATCTCATTGCTTGTCTGACAGCAGTTTATTTTGTCTTCATTTTTGATGGGGATCATTAGCTGTTTTTAATACTCTGAAGATATTGTCTTATCTTTGCATTCTTGGGATAAAACTAACTTGGTTATGATGCATTGTTCTTTTTATATTCTAGCTGGATTCAGCTTGGAAATCTTTATGGGTTACAGTTATTAACATCTTGAATTGACAAAAGCAGCAACGGTGTTTTGAGTTAAATATTTTTTCTCATTTATTTCTCAGGTCCCACAATTCACTTATTTCACAATGTTGCACTTGAGTTTAATATTATTTGCAGTGAAATTTGAGCATTTATTCAGAGGGCATGGCTGCTCAGACTGCATGGGGTTATGTCACAGCAATTTGAGAGGGGCTGAATTAGGACATTGTGTTACTTTTTAGTACACTGCTTAGTGTAAATGTCAAGGCTACCTTGGATGTTGGGGATGGACTGAGATTCTTCTGTCTTCCCACTCCATTATCACCCCTGACTCTGTCTACCTCCCCAGGTACCTTCAATCCTCTTTACTTTTTCTTAATCTCATCTTTTTCAAAGAAGATCTTCTTTGCTGAGCATTCATACTGAATATAGAGACTGCGTGCCAGGAGAACTGTGTTGGGCAGGAGCTCATAGGGTTAAGGGCTGGATTCTGGGGGTCCAGATGCACTACTCCAGCAGCTGGTGGCTCTGCACAGTTACTTAACATCTCCCTGACTGTCTTTCTTGTCTTGAGTGAAAAGTGGAGATGAAGATATGACCTACCTCATGAATTACTGTAAAGGTTACATGAATTATAAGGGATGTAATAGAGACAATGACATGAAAATGCATTCACAATTCAATGTTGATTGAAAAAAGGATGGAGTATGATCTCATTTTTTTGAAAATTCTACATATATGTATATATGTATGTGTATGAGTGTGCATATCTGTTTTACATATACACATATGTAACAAAGAATGCTGCCCTTTTTCTACTGGCTTTTCTATATTCTAAATTTTCTATGATAAAATCTATATTTTTATGTTAAGAAACATAAATTTGTAAGTTGTTTTTGAGGAAAAAACTATGATGTTGATTATAGCATTGTGCAAAATAGTTATCATTTGGAAACTTCCTGAATTTTCAGAAATTGAGTAATGATACTTATGGTGTTTTATGATTATTAAATTAAGATGTTAATTATTAGTATCTTAAGTTTTACATTGCTTAGTATTTTTATTTCATTTTAGGGAAACTTTGGAGTCGGAGTTTAAAACTAGCTTATACTCTTCTTAATAAACTGACTAGTAAGAATGAACCACTACTTAAACCTGGAGACAGAGTAAGTAACTAGAATGTAACTGTTGGACTGAGCAAAAACAGAGACTGTAAAAATCTTTTGCATAGAAATCATTGTTCTATCAGCTAGTTAGACTTAACAGCATTACTACAAGGGATTTAAAATCAGCATGGAAAAATATTAAATATGGGAAAAATTTTTGATGATGCAGATAAAAAGATTGTTCTTTTTTTTTTTTTCAGTGCCTGTCCATTGATTCCTCAACTCTTTTCTCTTTGACTTCAAATATGTTGATTTAATTTATTTTTTTATTTTATTATTATTATTTTTTAAAATATATTTTATTGATTTTTTACAGAGAGGAAGGGAGAGAGACAGAGAGCTAGAAACATCTATGAGAGAGAAACATCGACCAGCTGCCTTCTGCACACCCCACACCGGGGATGTGCCCGCAACCAACGTACATGCCCCTGACCGGAATCGAACCTGGGACCTTTCAGTCCGCAGACCGATGCTCTACCACTGAGCCAAACCGGTTTCGGCCAAATATGTTGATTTTAATAAAAATATTAATATCAGATATTAATAAATGTTAAATATTCAAAACTTAAGTTTTATGAGGAAACAACATTACTTTGAAATTGTGTGTGCTTTATATTCTTCCTATTCCATGTGACAAGGCCACCATCCCCTTTTCCTTTTCTTTTTTTTTTGTCTTTTAGGAAATAACTTTATTTAATATTTTGTTCATTCAAAAATATTTATTGACCAAGCAATATGCTCTAAACACTGGGAATAGGAAGGTCATTGTAGGTGTGGTTCCTGGATTATAATCCCCTCTTAACCTATCAGCCACAATAACATGCAAAGGAAGCTAGAGGCTTAGATCCTTATCCTACACTGTCCCAAGTAGTTGGCATAGCCATATGAGGCTATTTAAATTAATCAAAATTACATGATGAAAAATTTACATCCCTAGTCACACAAACCACATTTTAAGGGCTCAGTAGACTACCATATTTGATAGCTGGAAATAGAACATTTTTATTGTAGAAAATTCTATTAGACAGCATTGTTCTTAGAAAACTGAACCAGATTTGAGGAACTCAGGTATACCAGAAGATCCAGGAGAGAAAACAGGAGAACATGGTGAAAATCAATAAACCTACAGTGTAAACTAGTATAAAGGTTGCCCAGGGTCAGAAATGAAAATATAAGTTGACAAGCTGTCATAGAGTTTCTGGCAACTTTTGCCTTATTTTTTAATTAAAAAACTAGAAGCCAAGGACATTTAAGGAAGGAAAATTTAATGTGGAAGAAGATAGCCAAAGGGCAAAAAAAAATTGAAGAAAAAGGAAAGGGGAAGGGCAGTAGGAGGAAGAAGAAACAAATGAACTTGGAGGAAAGCTAGATAAAGAAAACAAATGTTCAGAAAATTAGTATTAATATTTCTAGAGTCTATAATGAAGAAAAATAAATTAAAGAACAAGAGATGGATAGTAGAAAGAAAAATAGTGCAAAAATTAGAATTGATCAAGAAGGCCCCACATCTGATAGTGGTTCAGAAAGAGAAAAGAGAAAGAGAACATAACATTTTCAGTGATAATAACTTAAGATGATGTTCTGGAGTTAGAGAGCATTTGCTTTAAAGTGAAGACTGCAGTGAACACAGTAGCTCCACAAATGGGCATAAGCACATAAGCATGTTACTGCGCAAGACCATGGTATAGAGCCTAAGGGGAAAGTGGGATGTATACATGGAGTCAGCAGTCAAATTGGGGGAGAGCAGTGTGACACTTCAGAAGTTCAGAGGGAATTTGATTTTAACCTGTTCTTAGTTATTCAACCAATGTGAGGATAGGTAACCATTTTCAGACACAGGATTCAAAAAAAATTGGACTTTCAACCACTCTTTCTTGGGAAGTTCCTAAAGGATGAGTGCTTCATCGGAATGAGTGAGTGGGGCCCAAACCTGAGAGCCACAGGGCAGTGCCCCAGGAGCAGCCTAGCAGGAGTAGGAGGACACAGGGCCCAGAATGTGGGTAGGGCTGGTCCACAGCTGGTAAAACTTATGAGTTCACCTGATTGGTTGGCTATTTGGAGAATACTATTGATAGATATTTACACATTTGGTGGGATATTTTAGAGCAGATTGACTAATGTATACGTAGAGAGCAGAATCAGTACAAATGCTGGTAGCTGTCACCATCGGAAAGAAAGGAGATGTGTATCTAGTTGTGAAAGTGCAACAGGATGAGAATGATACTTTATAATGTGTTGTGCTTTAGAGTGAGTCTGAAAGAATCCCTGATTTATAATGAATCTTAGAACAAATAATTTTTTCTTGAAGAAAATTTATGCAAGGACAAAGATTTACAGATACTGTCTTGACTTGCTAGAGAATCCACATAATTATAAAAAAGGTTGACAAGATCACAGTGAGTTAATTATCAGAGATGGGTGACAAATTCATTTTCCTGTGTTAATATACTTTTTAAAAGTGAACAGACACAACTCTTTTGTAACAGATTCTCTAAAAACATGTTTTCTATACCAAACATGTAGTCACAAGGCTATAATTCATAGTTCTGGAACAGTCTCTATTAACATCAACTTTAGAAGGAGAGCTTTGCCCTTTTCAACTAACTAACTTGTCGGAAACTTGATTAAGTTTACAGTATAAATATAGATATAGTTTGAATTAACTAATAAATAACTCTCTTACAAAGAAGAGAGTTATTTATTAGGTATCCATTGTTCTGTGTTCAGAGGCCTGTGTTAAAAGTCTGCTCAAATAATATTCTGATTCATCACTATGGTTTCAAGCACAACTTATTACACTATTGTGGTTTAAAAAAATCTTATTCCAGCCTGACTGGTTTGGCCCAGTGGTTGAGCATTGTCCTATGTTTGATACAGGAGATCACACTTCAGTTCCCAGTCAGGACATACACTTGGGTTGCAGGTTCCATCCCCCATGTGGGGCGTGCAGGAGGCAGCCAATCAATGATTCTTTCTTATCACTGATGTTTCTATCTCTCTCCCTCTCCCTTCCTCTTTGAAATCCATTAAATATATATTCCATAAATTTCTTTTCATGTAACTAGATTATTACAAGAAATGGAAATTGGGGTGATGGGAGAAGAAAAAGGGGGGAGAGGAGAGCTAAATATTCATCTACTATAACAGGAAATAAAATTATTACCTGAATATTTTTAAAAGATAAAACAGTATAAGCAAAATATTTAAAAATATCAGAGTAAATAGCAAAAGGAAGATGTAAATTATTTAAAAAGTGGTTGCCTTTGGGAATGGGATATGGGGGAGCATGGGGGATATTATTTTTCATTAGTACTTTTTTGGGTTACTTTATATTCTGGGTTTTAAAAAATTGACAAAAATAAAAATATAAGAGACAAAATAGAATATAGAATTTAAACAGTAGCAGCATGCTAACAAGGTGGGAAGAGAGACTCAGTGGAAGCAGCTATAGGGATCTCAACTGAGGATTTTGCCCCCATCCTTCCCTGTGAATACACTTAAGTCTTGAGTGGAGATCTGTTCAACTAAAATTTTGGCATTACGATTTCTTCTTTTGGAAGATATTTTAGGTATAATATGATTTCTTGTTTACTTTTCGTGTTAATACAGGTGCTTTTCACCTGGGCTAATTCATGGTGGATGATGGTCCATTCCTGAGTTGCTGCCGTGCAGATGGACTGTCTTTAAATCCAGAAATTTAAAGTTATCTTGTTGTATGGGAAGTAGAGACCTCAACCTAAAAACTATTTATTAAAAGTTACATGGTTGAGTCCTAACTGGTTTGGCTCAGTAGATAAGAGTGTCGGCCTGTGGACTGAAGGGTCCCAGGTTCAATTCCGGTCCTTGTACCTTGGTTGTGGGCACATACCCAGTAGGGGGTGTACAGGAGGCAGCTGATTGATGTTTCTCTCTCATCGATGTTTCTAACTCTCTATCCCTCTCCCTCTCTGTAAAAAATCAATAAAATATATTTTTAAAAAAGTTACATGGTTGAGAAAATTTAAGGACTAAGAATTAAACCCCAGATTCTAAAATAATAAAAAATATCTCAATTCCATCTAATCATTAGCAGATACTCCAAAAATTGAGATGACAATAATTCTCCAGTCATGGTTGTTCTTTGTTCTGATGTAGGTGGCGCTGGTGTTTCCGAACAGTGACCCTGTGATGTTCATGGTTGCATTTTATGGGTGTCTCCTGGCAGAACTGGTTCCTGTCCCCATAGAAGTGCCATTAACCAAAAAGGTAGCTAACTTGGCCCTGGGCCATTGGTTCAGGTTTCATGAGGTTTGAAACGATGAGCATTTTTTCCTCTGATAAATAGAATTTGAAATTTGATAGGACTTTGTTAAACTTGTTCTCAATGCCATATGTTTATTGACATTAAGTTTCATTTTGGGGGGATAAATCATTACAGTAATTTATTACAGCTCACTTTTCAGTGATAATTTTGAATATATGGGATGGAAATGTTTTACATTTCTGTTTGCTTACACAGCTGGCAGTTTTTGTTACTGACATGATTACTGTGGGAGTTCTGATGGTCTAGGCAGCTGTTTCATTTTATGTAGTATAAATGTCAGTAACCTAACTATTGAAAAAATTATTTAGGGGTAAACAAGGCATGTATTTTAGAAACTCAGAGTTTTCTATTGTATCCCAGTATTCAGGCAGCTGCTAATATGAATATTGTCAGCAACAAATATTCAAGAATCTCAAAAGTAAAGTTTTCAAATAAAACCAGAACATTCTCACAGATAATATATGATGACAGATATTGAATACCGGGTTTCTTAGGGGAAAACTAGAGATTTGTCAAGCTTTCAAAAAGAAAATTGTAACATTTGACAGAGGGACATATACAAAAGAGGACTTGACTAAAACAAAATGTACATTTCTGTGTAGAAATAATTATTATTGTTAAACACAAATAAAGTAGAAATTTCAATGCTGTTATTTTGGGAGTTTATTAAAATGTTGCTAAATGTGATTTGCAAGGAAAAAACTTTGGGAAATTGGCCCATTATTTGTACTTTATATTTCACTGCTAAAAGTATATATCTTTTAAATTTAAAAACAATTATATTTTATTTTCATGAAAATACTGTATATAGCAGTGATTTTCTTTTTAAAAAAATACATTTTTATTGATTTCAGAGAGAGGAAGGAAGAGGGGAAGAGAGAGAGAGAGAAACATCAATGATGAGAAGATCATTGATCTGCTGCCTCCTGCATCCCCCCATTGGGGAATGAGCCTGAAGCCCATACATGTGCTCTTAACCGGAATTGAACCCGGGTCTTTCAGTCCACAGGCTGATGCTCTAGCCACTGAGCCAAACCAGCTAGGGTTCAGCTGCTTTCTTGACCCAGTTAGTCCTTGACTCCTCTAAGGACAATCACTATCATAACTTCCAAGATTAGTTTTGCCTGCTCTGGAGCTTTTTATTTTTTTTATTTTTATTTTATTTTATTTTATTTATTTATTTTTAATATATTTTATTGATTTTTTTTTACCCCCCCTCCCATACATACCCTCCCTCCCCAGAGTTTCATGTCCATTGGTTGTATTTATATGCATGTATACAAGTCCTTCGGTTGATCTATTATCTCCCCCAGATCTCCCTACCCTACCTAGCAGTGATTTTCAACCTTTTTCATCTCATGGCATACTCATTACTAAAATATAATTACTAAAATACATAAAGTATATTATTTCTTGCTAATCAGAAAAAATAAAGGTATAATTTTGGTTCATTCACACCAGATGGCTATTCCTGTGTTGGCTGTTGTCATATTTTTATTTGAAGGAAAAGAGATCAGGTATTGCATGTTTTAAGAAATTTGGTGCATACTGATTGAAAATCGCTGGTATATAGAATTGAGTTGTTCTAGACATTTTACAAAGGGTGGACAAAGCACTCTTCTTTCTGTGCATGCGCCTGCATAGTAAAGGTCCTGAGCCGAGGCTGCCAGGAGCCCCTCACTTCCACCCCGCCCGCTCTCTGTCTTGTTCAGGATGCTGGCAGCCAACAGATCGGGTTTCTGCTGGGCAGCTGTGGTGTCACCCTGGCCCTGACCACGGACGCTTGTCAGAAAGGCCTGCCTAAAGCACAGACTGGAGAGGTGGCAACTTTCAAAGGTGGGCTTCTGAGGGGAAGTGGGAGTCAACAAACTTTATCCTTTAGTACTTTTCCAGCAATTAAACTTACAGAGGCTAAGGTTGAGACTCGCTTCTTACCTGGTTCAGGGTCTCTGCTATTTAATATGAATTGAGTAAGAATTAAATGAGACTGAGATATCTGTTCCTCAGGCACTCAGGAGCTAGAGCTGCATGTTCAACGGCTAGGCCCTGAGTGTGGGGAGCAGGGACCCTCTGACATTCACCTGTGCCTTGTTTCCTGGCTGCACCCTCACAGGTTGGCCTCCTCTCACCTGGCTGGTAATCGATGGGAAGCATCTGACTAAGCCCCCCAAGGACTGGCACCCGTTGGCCCAGGACGAAGGAGCTGGGACCGCCTACATTGAGGTGATGACTCCTCTAACACAGTATGCTAAAGCAGGCCCCCAGGTTAGGTCTTGTTTTCATATCAGTATGAGCTACTGAGTTTTTTAGTTTACAGGCTAAAACTTACGTTGACTTGTCATATGGAAACTTTCTCAGACTCTTTCAGTTTTACTCTTAGAAGGGATGCGGACAGTTATGAGGGAACTCGCATGCACTGTTGTCCTTAGCACCTGCCCAGGATGGGTCCTGACTTCATCTGAGGGTTAGGGCATAAAAGGCTCTTCAGTCTGACGGGCTGGTTAGTGAAGGAGAGACAGCTGACAGCTTCTTCTCTCTAAAATCCACCAGCCTCCATTCTCTCTGTTGTGGCCTCCCAAAACATCACATAATGGAGTTTTTTTTCTTAAAATCTTTCAGTATAAAACCAGCAAAGAAGGCAGCACAGTGGGGGTGACGGTGTCCCATGCATCTCTGCTGGCGCAGTGCCGGGCTCTGACCCAGGCGTGTGGCTACTTGGAAGGTAAGGGCATACGGGGCACCAGGGAGCTGCCGCTGCAGGTGTCAGATCCAGTCCTGTGCAGGACCTGCCCTCCAATCCGGTGTTCCAGGCGCTGCATGCTCGGGGCTCTGCTTGCACTGGATGAGTGAGCCCTTTCCAGTAAACTCGTGTGTTTGTTGATTTTTCTGGAGTATGAAGTCCATATCCCACCAGTTCATCAATGCCCAGTTGGCTGATTCAACAAAACTGAGGCGCAGTGCATTTTACATTTTAAAAATATGGAAACAGTGTTATTGGCACTTACTTTTCCATTGCTATTTTAGATGCCTGTGGTTTGGCCTTATATACAGATATACAGATGGACATAGGTTGGCTCTTGGTAGCGCCACATGTACTGATAAATATTAGATATTTAATTTAGAGAACTATTATTCCAAAAACTCTAAAAATGTATACATGGCAGTTTGTTTTGTATTGCAATACTTGAACAAAACTAAAAAGTAAATGAGTAGTATGTTTAAATATCTACAATATAGTGTTTAAATGTAAGGGGTAGTGTAGGGCATAGTGAAGATTTCAGTAGAGATTTGGAAGAGGATTTTAGATATGTTCAAGGGCCTGAATAATTTTTAAAAATATATATTTTATTGATTTTTTTTTACAGGAAGGGAGAGGGATAGAGTGCCAGAAACATCAATGAGAGAAACATCGACCAGCTGCCTCCTGCATACCCCCCACCGGGGATGTGCCTGCAACCAATGTACGTGCCCTAAACCGGAATCGAACTTGGGACCCCCTTCAGTCCGCAGACCAATGCTCTATTCACTGAGCCAAACCAGTTTTGGCCTGAATAAATTTTAAAGAAATTAACCTCTCAGTCAAGTCCCATGATTTCTTCTTTAGACCCAGTGCTGATCTTACATATGTCACCTATAATTGGACCCTCAACTGACTAGGGAGCCTGTACAGCATGCTTATTCAGAATGCAGCAGGGTCCTGGCACACAGCTCCCTGTAATGACCAGGGGTGTTTCTCCCGTGGGGCGCAGTAGGGCTTGCCATGGCCTTTGGTGAGGGACCAGATTTGCTTCTAGCCCCAGGCTCTGTTCCCTGCCCCTTGGAGCCTGGTCCCTCAGAGGGTGCTGCCAGACGCTCTGAGTACAGGGATGTGCTGGGAAGCCTGGGGACTCCTGTTCTCTCCTTCCTAATATCCAGAGGAGAAAACGGGCAGGAGAAAATGAGCACCTTTCTAAAGAGAAGTGACACTGGTAGCATGTGATCTTTTTTGAAGATGCAGGATAATGGCCTTGGGTGTGAGAAATGGGGGAATCGGATGTAAAATTGAGAAGAGCACCCATGACAGTCTGACTGAAATGTGTAACAGCCTCTTAACTAGAGATTGTTGCTTTGTTTTCAGATTGATGATCAGCATAGTTCTCTGTTGTAATCCAGAATTGTATGACCTACTGTTGTTTTTCCAGTAATTTAAGTAAATAACCAAGATTATTGGTAAATTAGTGCATGGTATTTTGAAATGCTGTATGTTTCCTAAAACTCTTATATGCTGATAATATGCTCATCTCAGAGTTTCTCTAAAAGTGCATGTGACATGTGAAGAGGTTCACTCAGCAGTTTAACCATCTTTGTCACTTTCAGCTGAAACACTAACAAATGTGCTGGATTTCAAAAGGGATGCTGGTCTGTGGCATGGAGTGTTAACAGTGAGTGTTGATGCTAAATGATCTAATTGTTGGAACGAGGGATTTCTAATGTTTCATATTAATATATATGACCCCAAACCCTAATTTTTACGTGATACAATGAATCCTTAGTTCTGTTGATTCACCTGACCAGTATATCTGAACTGAAATAGTGTTGTGAGCACTGGTGTTACCTTTGACGCTTCGGCGTGGTGTAGAGATCTGTAGTCCGGATGCGGAGTGAGACCTGCCCTGAGCGCCTGTGTCTTTCACAGAGTGTCATGAACAAGATGCACGTGATCAGCATCCCGTATGCACTGATGAAGGTGAACCCACTCTCCTGGATTCAAAAAGTATGTTTGTATAAAGGTAAGGGAATTCGCATCATTTCTCTTTATTTTTAAAAAATATATATATTTTATTGATTTTACACAGAGAGGAATTGAGAGGGATAGAGAGTTTGAAATGTCGATGAGAGAAAAACATCGATCAGCTGCCTCTTGCACACCCCTCCACTGGGGATGTGCCCGCAACCAAGGTACATGCCCTTGACCGGAATCGAACCCAGGACCTTTCAGTCCGCAGGCCAATGCTCTATCCACTGAGCCAAACCGGTTTCGGCTTGCATCATTTCTTGATTCATCCTGCACTAAAGAAGTCTTTTTGAATTAATATTTGGTGATTAAGAAAAAAAATAAAGCTAACATACAAAACTGTAGATGTGGGTTAAGGAGCCCCGACGGCCAGCATGCGCCATGACCAGGTCTTAGGCTCGACTGTGGTGGTCCTGACTCACCAGTGCTGGCTGTAAGCTGTTGTGACCTGTGTGTGCAAAGCCTGACCTGGATTTGCAAGGCCTGGGTGTGTGTAAGGCCCGGGTAGAGAACTGTTCTGTAAGGACCATAGGACCCTAATGTTATTCTTTTGAAATTTTCCTTACAGTCACATCAATTCTTAGTATTTGAGATGGTTTTAATATGAAGTTATGGCTTTTCAAGCCACCAGCAGCAAAGCTGTTTATTCAGATGAAGCTGTCCGCGAATGATGGGGCTGCCCGGGGGACCTTGCCCTGTCCTCCACTTTCAGTCAGTCATCCTTGCAGTCACTCCAGGCGTTTCTGTGGCTCTGCTCTGGGGGAACTTGAGGGAACCTTCACTATCTTCTGGGCCTCGGGTCTTTGTTTTAAGACTACTAATCCTGGGTACCTTCTTTACTTGTCTGCCTGTGCTTACAGTACTGCCAGTTACTGAATGTGGACATGAGACATGAGACGTGGTGTCATCAGGGCAGCCTAGAGGGAGTACCTATCTCTGTTTATCCTATTTTACTGAGGAAGATTGAAGCTGGTTTCAGGGTTGGTAGTTCCTCCCCACCAGCATGGCCAGGGTTGAGGGCTGAGTCTATCTGCTCACAGCCCTCGTACCCCTGAGGCCACACAGTTGAATGTCTAAGCAGCTTGGGGGGAGGGTTGGATGAGACAGAATAGGCAGGTGTGGAAAGAACAAGATAGAGCTTCTGAGAGAAATTCAAAGTGGAAAATGGATCTGAGTTTATGTTTGATTTTAAGTAAAACAGGTTAGAGTGAGTTAAACTGTGAATGAGACATAGCTGCAGATATGTGTGGCCTGAAACATAGAATGCTTGCCTGTGATCCTACGTGTGTACTGCACTGGCAGCAAGCACTGCGTGAGGGTCAGGATGATGTGGGAGTGCCGCCTTCACGTCTGTGTTCCTTGCAGCCCAGACAGCGCTGGTGAAGTCCCGTGACATGCACTGGTCTCTCCTGGCTCAGCGTGGTCAGCGGGACGTCAGCCTCAGCTCGCTGCGTATGCTGATCGTGGCCGACGGCGCTAACCCATGTGAGTAACCTCCTGACGAGGGCTGGGGCCTGGTGTCCCAGACAGTGAAAGTGAGTGTATTGTCATTGTCTCTAACATGTCACTTCTTGTTGGTGACCCATTGTTATATCTCATGCATGTTTTTTGGCCACTACATTTGGAAGCGATTTTAATACATTTGAGAGAAGGTACATGCCTTAAAGAGTCATATTTCTGCCCGGCTGGCATGGCTCAGTGGTTGAGTGTTGACTTATGTAACAGGAGTTTGCGGTTTGATTCCCAGTTGGGCATGTACCTGGGTTGTGGGTTTGATCCCCAGTGTGTGTGTGGGGGTGTGTTGGAGTTAGCTGATCAATGATTCTCTCTCATGATTGATGTTTCTGTTTCTCCCTTCCTCTCTTAAATAAACAAAAAATATTTTTAAAAAATGAGTTATATTTCTTAAGCATTGACCAGAACATAGGTACAGGTTGGGAGCCTCATGAAACCCCTGCCCTTTGACCTTGTATCTCACCCCCACTGTCTCAGCCACTGCACGTCCTCCCATTGAGAACCCCTCTAGTGTGCTGCTGCACACCACAGACTCTGCAGGACCTGATCGTGGCTGCTTGGTGGGGGCTGTCCAGGGCCTACCGCAGAGTGTCTTCTGGGGAGCCTCAATGGAACATTGCAGCACAGAGCCATCGACCAGAGTCTGGCCTGTTATCTAGTCTGCTGTCCAGTGAGGCCCTAACACCCCTGCCTACCTGTGCTCCTGGGTACCTACTTGTTCGGGAGATCACCTAGCACCCCAAAGCCTCTCGTTCCCTCCATCCACACATGAGCTCAGCAGGGTCTCTATAGCCTGCCTCTAAAACACCTGGGTGCTGCTCACTTCTCTGCTTCCCCCGTGCCCATCAGCCTTGCAGTTATTCTCATGTCCACTTTGTTCCATGCAGGGTCCATATCTTCCTGTGATGCCTTCCTCAACGTCTTTCAGTCGAGAGGCCTGAGGCCGGAGGTCATCTGTCCTTGTGCCAGTTCTCCTGAGGCACTGACGGTTGCCATCCGCAGGTAACTTAATTGCTTATGTTTTGTAGAGACTTTTTATTCTTACTCCTGAATTACCTGCGGTATCAAATGCTGTTAATTTGCTTCTGAGCAGTAGCCATCATGAAGCAGTGTCCATCTTGTGCCAGTTTTCCAAGCTGTCTGAGCACTAATGGATGCCCCAGTGCCATCCCAGGGTAGAGGTGTGCCTATGGTCAACTTTTCCTGCCTGGGTCATCTCTTGCCTGCCCTGTGGCTCTTGGTCTGCAGCTGCTCCGGCACCATCCTAGGGTAGAGGGCAATGGAGTTTTCAACTCTATTGTTAGAAAACTAGTATCAGTTGTGGTCCTGTATCATTTATGTATGTTCATATGTCCATAAATAGTGTGTGCTTTTATGTGCAAGCATAAGTAATCCTAAATGTTAATGATAACTTAGCATTAGAATAACATCTTTATCTTTCACAAACCATGAAGTAGTCTTTATTTCTTTGTTCTGTGGTGAACAGTTTTGCTTGTCAGTGTAGGTTTTTCTTCCTGGGAAAAATATTGACCTTTGTTTTTTAGTGTTGCATTTGCTGATGCTGCATGGCAAATTACTCCCAAACTTGGTGGCTTAGAACAGCAACAGTCAGTTATTATATCTCTCACACTTGCTATGGTCAGGACTTTTGTGCTGCCTTGCAGTTAGATGCTCTCTGGACTGGATTAGGGTTGGGGGAGCCGCAGACTTGACTTCCTGTGTGCAGTCTCAGGGTCTCTCCTGCTGGTCCCTGGAGTGGACTGCTCTGGGCTTCCTCACAAGTGTCATTCTGCTTACCTGGCTATGCCCAAGGCTCCCAGTGAGTTTCCCAAGACAAATAGGTGGAAACAATCCGCTTATGACCTCCTTTGAAAATCACTTAGCATCACTTCCCCCATCATCACAGGCCCACCAGATGAAGGGAGAAGTGCTGAGGCCCCACTGCAGAGGAAAGCATGGGGTGGAAAGGTGGTGGCAACTTTAGGAATGCAGTCTGCCACACGCAGTCCTTATCCTAGTGCTGCTGCGTCCGAGTTCGAGGTTACAGTATGATTCAGAGTGGAGCCTGGGGCGCAACATGGTCTTGCAGGCAAGGTAGGCCATAGGTCTCTTCAAGAACTCTATCCTTTGTCAGTTAATCTAGTTTTGTTTTCTAGGCCGCCTGACCTGGGAGGACCTCCTCCAAGAAAAGCTGTGTTATCAATGAACGGCCTTAGTTACGGTGTGATCAGAGTTGATACTGAAGAAAAGTTGTCAGTCCTTACTGTTCAGGACGTTGGTCAGGTGATGCCTGGAGGTAAGGGATGCACCTGCAGTGTGTCTTATCCAGTGATTGATTAACGAAGAGTCATACTAGCCCCAGGCTTTGTTGGAGTTATCTAGAAGCACCCAAGTAAAAGATTTCTTAAAATGGATTTTCCATGTAAATTAGGATTTTATAACATTTTCAAGGTATTTTTGCTTCCTTTTGTATTAAGTTTAAAGTTGAGCTAACATATAAAGGTGTGTTTATGGCTGTGAACCCAACTTCTGGTTTCAGTATTTGGGATAATGTGACAACTGCTCACATTGCTGCCAGACATAGCCTTCATACCTCACATATATGGAGGCATAAACCCCAGGCGCCCAGGTTGTCTGAATAACTTGATAGATTATTTCAGTAAGTCATCAGAGTACAGGAATGTTAGGAGTATGACCTTAATCAAGGCCCACAGAAATTCCTGTAGGTTCCAGAAAGGTCATGATGAGCTAGCTATCCCAAGGGCCTGACTAACTCCTAAGTTGTTGGAGGCTTCCTTGCCATCCTGGGCAGTGCAGCGATGAGAGGGTGATGGAGCTGTCTTCCTGCTATTCCGAAGGCGAGGCCACACCGTGTGATGTTGGTGCAGTTTCACATGGAGCAGAGCCAGGCCCAAGAGGCCCCTGGGACAGTTGTGAGTCGGGAATGCTCTGTTGATGCTGCTCTGAGGTTACCCTCTTTGTAGCAACCCCATAATTTCTCTAGTTTGTACCCTCTTCGTCATGTTGGTCCTTCTGTGGTTCATGGGCAGCTGTCCTGACCCACCCTGGTGGCTTCTAGAGGCAGGTTCTCACCTTTCAGTCAGTCACCCTTATCCCAGTGCTGCTGTATCTGGGTTGCAGGGTCTGCAGGCTGCCCAGCATCCTGGTCCTTGTGTTTTCAGGTCTGTTTCCACAGGTCGTCTGTGCATAGGGACATGTGCTGTTCAATGTGGTGCCAGGGCACTCAAGAGGGAGAGCCCATAGCAAGGATGTCTGACCCTGCATGTGTGGAGAAGTTGGAACTCTTAGAATAAGACTAGAAGTTCAACTAGAAATAACTAGAAACAAAATATAATATGAAATGTATTTTTCCTTTTTATAATTTTAACATAAATATGGATTAATTGGTCCTTTAGAAACTTGAATATGAGGATGAAACATTTTACAAAGAACAAAGATTGGGAATCTTACATATTTTTAGTTGTTATGAGGAGAGCCCAGTAAATCTTTAAAAGATTGGTAAAATATGGTCTTAGTGATTTTTGTCCGAATGAAAAAATAAGGGACTTCCATAGTAATGTTCGTTATTTACTGGTAAACCATGGACCAGGATGGATTGTATGCACAGTTTTCCCCTAGGTGTGTGAGTATGCACAGTGCTCCCTAGGTAAGCTCTGTTAGCCAGAACAGTTGAAGGTTGATTGACTTGTTGAGGGCTGATGGTGTTTGCTTTTAGCAGATATATAACTTCCGCTGTGTTAATCCTGGGTTTGCATTGACCATGATATGAAGTGGATTTTGTCCTTTTGCGTCTTGTTGTATTAAATTGGAGTGTCTGTCATCACATGAGTGTCTTGAGTGTGAACTGAGAGCTACCTGTCCAGCAAGATATGTGAATGCCATTTCTTTAGTGAATGTCCTCAACATTCTCTCTGCTGAGACTTTGACGGATTTGTGCACAAACAGAATTAAATGACTGTTGCCCTCCTGTAACCTTTCCTTGTTCACATCTTTGAAGATGAGAATACTTTGGAAAAAAACTCAAGAAGGGCCGAAAGAAGGACAAGGCCCAGGCTATTTAATTCATACTGAATGCCCGGGTTTTGTTTGATGGACCACTCCGAGTTCTGGTGTGTATTTTGCTCTGTTGGTTGGAGGCTGTTTCTGGATGCTTGCTGTGTGGCAGGGCTGGGGGCCTGGGCCACAGTGACCACACAGGCAAGGTCCCTGTGCCGAGGGGCAGGCAGGAGCATCAGGAAGGTGTGTTGCTTAGTGAAAACAGAGAAGGAGGATTGGGCTGGGGAAGGGGTCACACTGAGGCCTGTGTGACAGGATGAGTCCTGGTACAAGTGGGGTCCATCAGGCTTTGGAGCAGGAGTGAGCCTCTGAGCAAACGTGCAAGATGGTGCCTGTTGGCAGCCAGGTCAGCTGACATCTCATGTGGGGCCAGGAGAGTCATGCAGAGCCTATGTGTCTGCTTATCGCAGGGAGATTGCACTGCTGTTCTATTGCCTCATCTTGGAGTGTATTAAATGTATTAAATGTAAAGTCGCGAGCAAATGGAATGTATATGACACCTGTCAGAAAGCTTGTTGCTAGAACATACTACATCTGTAATAGTTTGTTTCCATAGCTATAGACATGGCAAAAATACATCCTTGTGGATGATCTACTTCAATGTATTTATGCTTTTGAGGTTTTCTTTTTCTTTTTCTTTTTATAGCTAATATATGTGTTGTGAAGATAGATGGTGCCCCATATCTTTGTAAAACTGATGAAGTTGGAGAAATTTGTGTTGACTCCAATGCTACAGGCACAGCGTATTATGGACTACTTGGGATCACCAAGAATGTCTTTGAGGTTTGTACTTCATGTTGAAGTTAAGTTCTGAGAGCATCCATGGGGCACAGTGGGTGGTGGTCCGACCTCCTTGGCACCTGCTCTGCTGGGTTAGCTCAAGGGAGTTGAGGCTGCCCAGGCTAGCCAGTGCTCTGTATGCTAGAGTTGTTGGGATGCCAACTGAGTGCCCATTTTTCTGGCCCAGGCACTGGGAGCAGTGGGAGGAGAGGATAAAGCAGGAACAAAGCCTGGTGGTCATGCTGTGCACAGGGGCCAGAGGAGGATCTCCTCAGCCAGCAGGGACTCTGGTCCTGGGGTAGCCTCTTCCCCTTCAGAAACATGGGTGACAGCCCCATCTGAGGAACTATCTCCTGGCTGTCAGGCACTGTGAGTGCCGAGCTCTCCCACCTGCCTGCTGACTCCTGGCCGGTTGGTTGATTATCAGTGGACCATAGTCTGACTGTTCCCCTCTTCACTCTATGCAGACTGTCCCTGTCACTGCAGGAGGAGCACCCGTCTCGGACAGGCCTTTCACCAGGACTGGGCTGCTGGGTTTCATCGGCCCTGTGAGTAGTCACACCACCAGGACTAGGGTCCTCCATGTGCTCACCTCTCAGGAGGGTATGCTGCCAGTATATAGTGGGCATCTAGAGTGGGACAGTACAGACAGCCAAAAACATCAGGATGCCAACTTTGTGAACCCTACTGATGTCCTGTAGCGTTCTTTCAAACTTCACCCACCACTGTATTCTTATCTCTGACCTTTCTCCTGCCAACTCTGTCCCTGAATTCACCTCTGCCCCAATCTGAACCCACTAGTCTGTAGGGCCCCTTCATCCCACAGTTGGCTTGCCCCAAGTTTCACCTGTCATCATGTAAGGGACATGATGCTCCCATCTCCTTGTAGCAGGGTCTGACTCATAGGACCTGCTTGTGTGCCCTGAGTCCTGACCAGCTTCCTTGCCTTCAGGATAACCTGGTCTTCATTGTGGGCAAGCTGGATGGGCTGATGGTGGTCGGAGTTCGCAGACACAACGCGGATGACATCGTGGCCACTGCGCTGGCGGTGGAGCCCATGAAGTTTGTCTACAGAGGCAGGTGATGCGCTGCGGGTCCCTGTGTTACGGTTTTAGATCCTTTTCCACTTAAGGTTGGAGAAGTCCGTTTGCAGTGGAAAAAAGCCCAGTAATTTGAACAAGTGAACCTAAAAATTCTTGTTTGTTAGAGAAAACTCGAAAAGGAAAGGATGGTACTTGCAGCATGGATAGCAGAGTTACTGTCCTTGCTGTCCCCAGAGCTCACGCTGTCCTTTAAAACAATACGATCTGAATGTATAACTGGCACAGGGACCAGCCCCAGCACCACAGAGGGAGCCATGTGCATGACCTCACAGATGTAAATTGGAACCATGTACCATGTTCTCTGCAGCCAGCAGACGCCAGTTCCTTTTCTCCTAAACTTTAGCAAGACATATAGAAACCCTACCTTGCTCCTGGGATACAATCAGTCCAACTTTCTGAATGTGTTAGGGCAAGACTTTAAAGATTTTCATCTCCATTGAGCAAATGAATGGACCTCTGGCCTAGCCCCAGTGGCTGGGGGCAAGGAGGGGAAGCCCTCCTGAGCTCTTTGTCCCTTCTCCTAGTTGATCCACCCAACAGGAGTATTGTATTTAAAATTTTTATCATTCTCAGGAAGTGCTTTTATTATTCAAACTAGGGTGCCTGTGAACCTGGCCAGATCCTGGATGGTCAGATCCTGTCTTTGAATATACCTTAAAGAAATCATTAGCGAATTCTGCCAAATGGTGGGTCAGCATGGGCTGCTGGCCTTCCCCCAGGAAAAAGTGATGGGTGTGGGATAACTGCCCAGGAGAGACCAGCAGGGCAGTCCTGTAGGTGCATGCAGCCTAGAGTGTCCCAGAATATCACTACCTGTCCTCGCAGTGGAAACCAGGAACACTGCTGGTACAAGAGTCCATGGGGTAACATCAGGTAGTCATACCTCTCCTAGGGTGGATTATAGAGACTGACTTCTTTCATGGCCACCAGAACCTGACGGTGCCTAGAAGCAAAGTCCCTGTTCTGAGCAGGTACCCTATGATGCAGTGCCAGCCTGGGTGATAGGCTGGGGTGTGGGGTGATTACTCTGCAGGTAGACAGCATAGTCTGCCTGTCCCCATCAGGGAAGAACTTGAGGACCACAACCATTTTGAAATAGAACAATAACTGATTGAATGTGTGTGCCACTGGGATATTAATAACATGAAATGAGATCAAGAAACCATAACAGTTGTTTACACAAAGAACATAATAGATGGAATAAATAGTAGGATAGATGCAGCTAGAAAAAGAATTGATAAGCTGGAAAGTCAAATTGAGGAACTACTCTTGAGGTAAAGAAATGGAAAGTTTTAAAGAAAAATTAAAAGAGATGGGGAGAAGAAAAGAAGAAGGGCTGGCAATCCAGGTATCACACTTGGGAGAGGAGGAGGAGTGATTGCAAAGTGGCTAGAGTGCTCTCTAGTAGGGACCTAACTAGTAGGGCCCCTATGGCTGATTTGGCAATGTCTCCTCAGCTGACACAGGACCAGGCAGAGAGTATTGGGCTGATGAAGGAGGATGACAGTGCAGTGATGTTTTTTAAGTTTTTAAAAGGAACTTTTAGACTGGATTTTGAATTTATCCGATTGTCACTTAATTGTGCAGTTGGAATAAAAATATTCATGGGTCTGTAAATTTTAGAAGTTTGGTTGCCAAAAGATCCTTTTTGTGAAAATACTCTCAGATGAGGTACTAAGAAATATTTAGGAAATGCTACAAAAATGTATAAAAGTAAGGAAAATTTGCCCTGGTTGGTGTGGCTCAGTTGGTTGGAGCATTGTCCTGTGCACCAAAAGGTGGTAGGTTCGATTCCTGATCAGGACACATACCCACATTGGTCAGGGCACATGCAGGAGGAAACCAATCGATGTTTCTCACATCAGTGTTTCTCCTTCTATCTCCCCCTACATCCTTTCTCTAAAATCAATAAAAAAAAGAAAGAAAAATTTAATACTGGGTAAATTTTGTTATATAAAAATCCATGTGTGTATGTGTGTATGCTCAAGCACACATGTACATGTATGCACACTAGCCAAAGAAGAGAATAAGAAGTTATGTCCATAAAGGCCCCAAATTAGAACCTTAGACATGCATGATGGTTTGATGGAGAGACCAGCATCTTGCCTTATAGGAAAAAGTATATAATCTCAAGTTTAAAAGAAGAAAAAGGCGATTCAGAGAAAATACGTTGAATTCTTGAAGTAAAATGGGAGAAACAGGTCCAGTAACACAAGCAAATTAATTCAGTGAGAGATAGATTTAATCTGTTAGATGAAAAATACAACTCATAGAACTTATAGACAAAGATTTTTGCACAAAGAATTTATCATGTTATTAACATCACAATTAAAGAAAAACACCTGATGGTTTTGATTTGTACCAGAGTCCTCCCTGTTTTGGTGAATTTTCAGTCATATTTGAGGAAATTAGTGACTGGTTACTTTTTAAATTCTCAACAAGGAAATTAAAAACTGGCTACTTTTTAAAACCCACTGTTCGATTGATTCTAAACTAGCATTTCTGCATAGGCCTTTCAAGAGAGAAGAGGTGTCTACACCCCTCTGGCATCCTTTGCTGGATGGTAATTTCTCTCCTTGTCCTCTCCCAGAATCGCTGTGTTCTCCGTGAGAGTGCTGCATGACGACCGGATTGTGCTCGTGGCCGAGCAGCGGCCGGATGCTTCCGAGGAGGACAGCTTCCAGTGGATGAGCCGTGTGCTGCAGGTGGGTGTGCAGGCACACTCCTTCTGCCTGTCTGTTGCTGTGCTGATTCAAGGATTTTTTAAATTTATTGATCTTTCTCCCACACTAAATGACTCGAATAGAATCCCTCCTTCACCTTAGGCCACTCCACCCACCCTGTAATCACAGAACCGCAGTCTGCGCGTTGCTTCTAAAACTGAGATTTTTGAGAGCAGCTGAAGATGTTTTTCAATTCTTTTTGCCCACAGGGCGTATCCACGTGGGGGAGACTAATCAAGTCACCGTGTTTAAAGTCACTTTAAATAGACAACTCTCTGTGGGGCTGTGCCACCAACCTAATTCTAGTTTGCTTGAGTTCGTTTGTTTTATTTTACTTTTTGTTGTTTTTAGTGTTTTGTATGTAAAACATAAGTGTGGTTCCAAAGTAAAAATCTAAAGCAAAGTATATTCAGAGGAGTTCAGCTTCTGCCCTCGCTTGTTCACTCCTCCCATAGGAGGTCATTTAACATGTCTTTTGGCCTGTAAGTGGTTACAGGTTATGGACATGTATATAGACACATTTTGTGTCTATTTGTGTATGTGCACGCATGCATGTGTTAAATGATAGAAAGTGTACATGCATCCATCTTGTTTTCTCATTTAACAAAATGTCCTGACGTCACTCTGTCTTCTTGACCTTTGGGTTGTAATGTCCTCACCCAGCCTTCCTAGCCGCCTTCAGTTGGTCAGCATGTGCTCCAACATCACTATGCAGTGTGTCGGGTCTCAGAAGTCCTTCCTGTCCTGTATCCTCCCTTCCAGGCCATTGACAGCATCCACCAGGTGGGCGTGTACTGTCTGGCCCTGGTTCCTGCCAACACCTTGCCCAAGGCTCCTCTTGGAGGGGTTCACGTCTCTGAAGCCAAGCAGCGCTTTCTGGAGGGGATGCTGCACCCGTGCAATGTGCTAATGTGTCCACACACCTGTGTCACCAACCTTCCCAAACCTCGCCAGAAACAGCCAGGTTAGTTGTGCATAACAGCCTTAAAATGGGTGGCGGCCACAATCATGGTTAAATGGCGCAACCAGTTGGGGTAAAAGCCAGAGTGAGTAGCATACCAGGCCAATCCACAGCTTCTCCCTTCTTAGAACTGAGTCATGTAGGAGAAAACTTGACTGTGTCACCAGCATGTGGCTTCCTCCAGTCTGTTAGAACCCACCTCAATGGCTAAATTCAAGCCTGGCCTCTTAGCTTTGGATGGCGAGGCAATGGCTCCTGGGGAGTAGAAATCCTGCCCAAGAATAGACTTGGAGCTCGGGGGCTTAAAAAGCCTATTTCAGTCACCACAGTGCTCATAGTGGGCAGCCACGCCAAGCCAGGCAGGACAGGGGCATGCTTGCTCCTTCCCTCGACTGTGACTCACCACAGCCACAGGTTGATGAGACCTGGGAAATCTCAATAAATATTCAATTTTCCTTCCGTGATTTAACTATTATATACAGTGCTTTATTCTTTTGGTTATGTGAATTTTTAGTAGATGCTAGCTTTTTTATTATTGAACATTAAAATGTCATTAAATAAAATATATTTAATTAGGAAGGTGTAATTTCCTGTTTTATACATAAAATATAGTAAAACAATGAAATAATTAAGAGTTTAGCTATGGCTGAGGTCAAATCATATCCCTCAGATATGTGCCATATTATAAATTTCTCAGTCTGGCATTACTTATATTTAAAGAGAGATTCTCTTCTATTTGTCATTTAGCATAAACCTTGTAGCTGGTTTCCTGAACATCTACATTGAGTGGCCAGATTATTATGATCTCTGAATGCATAATAATCTGGTCACTCAGTGTATATCCTATATAATTTACATGCAAATTGTCCCCTCGACCAGCAGGCAGGTCAGCCAACCACGTATGTCTTTTCTCCCTGGCCTGTGTGTGTGTGTGTGTTCATAGACACACACACACACACTGAGTGGCCAGATTAATATGGATTCAGAGATTATAATAATCTGGCCATTCAGTGCATATCATAGTGAAGAGTTGAATAAAATAAAATAAATCAAATAAAAAGTGTGGCATGTCAGTAGAAGTCATCAACATCTTCCTGTTTTCTAGAGGTTGGACCAGCTTCTATGATTGTTGGGAATCTGGTTGCTGGGAAAAGAATTGCACAGGCCTCCGGGCGGGAGCTGGCCCACCTGGAAGATAGCGACCAGGCCAGGAAGGTAACGGGCCAGTGCCTGGGAGGGTGAGGAGGGCACCTCTTGTGAGGCTGCGGAGGATTGAGTTGGCCTCTCTGCGCAGTTCCTGTTCCTGCCCGATGTGCTGCAGTGGCGGGCCCACACCACTCCCGACCACCCGCTCTTTTTGCTGCTGAATGCCAAGGTGAGGTTGGCTTGGCTGCCCTGTGGGGGCCAGTGGAGCGTGCATGGTGTATACTGAGGTCCCTGTGGGCAAACCCTCTGCTCCCTAATTCAGTATGACTCAATGTTGGCTTTCCTAGGGCACGGTGACAAGCACTGCAACCTGTGTCCAGCTGCACCGAAAGGCTGAAAGGGTGGCTGCTGCTCTGACGGAGAAGGCAAGACTGAGCATTGGGGACCATGTGGCTTTGGTCTACCCCCCAGGTAAACACATTGAGACCTCCCAAAACTCACCTGGATCCCTCCTCCACACACATCCACATCTGTTGGGTTTTCTCTCCGGGGACAGTCCCAGTGGTGCTGGTATCATGATCACCTTTCCCACAGACTATTGCAGGGACTCTGGTGGGCTCCTGGCTGCAGTCCTACACCACTGCAATCATAACAGTCCAGCTTCTGAGGATTAATCTTGGGTCTTAGTTGTTAGTTAGCTTCTTCATACGTCCGTATTCCCTTGTCAATAATTGTAATCTGTTGTGATTAGACTCAGACTTTTTTTAATAGTATAGCCTTTATTATCTTTCTGCTTTTTATTTGACTGGTCTTTTCCTGTTTCTTCCCTACATTTTATTATTATAAAGCAAGCACCCTTGTCACCACAAGCCAAGTCAAGAAATAGATCTTTGCTAAGTACCCAGAAGTCCCTTTGCCTTCCTGTCCCAGCCAGTCTCCTCTATCCTCCCCAAAATAGCCTCTGTCCAGACTTCTGGAGTCTCCATTCTTCTATTTGTTTATAGTTTGATTACTAGACTTCCTTGCTGTTTTTGTCCAGGTGCCTAAAGGATTTTTTTCCTTTTGTTAAAGTCCAGAATACAGTCTTGATATTAGTTGTTATGGAACAATAATCTCATGTATAAGGAAGGTATTTTTAAATAGGCAGCTTCATTTTTTTTTTAACTTTAAGAAAATTTTTTAAAACCACTTTTTTCTTCTATTTTTTTCTCTTCCCTTGCTTTGATCTTCATGTCATCCTCCTCTGTTTATGTGTTGATCTTTGTCTTCAGTAGTTGTTTTCTGTTGAGATGTTTCTGTTTCTTACTAAATTTCTTTTTAACAGTCCTCTCCCTGTTACTGAGGCTTTGTCTGTTGTCTTTGTTTGCTCTTGTGCTCCTTCTACTTTCATCTTCATTTTTTAAAATTATTTTTCATAATTTCTAGTTCTTTCCTCATTTCTGATTTTTTTCTAATTCTCATTTCTGTTATTTTATTTCTTATATCATCTTCTTAACGTATTTTAGCTCATTTTAAAATAGACTATTACGGTTTATGTCTGCTGTCTGCCTGTCTATATAAGTTTGTGGAAATGTAACCTAATGTGGTGGCCAGCTTTCTGAGGTCTCCTGACCATGTCCCTTCCTCTCCCCAATCTTATTGTCATCTGTCACCTTTCCTCCTTCTTGTCCCTTATCTTGTCTCTACATCTCAATGTGCCCTTCACTTCTAGCTGTGTCTCTGCCTTGGAGGGCCCTGCCTGCTGTTGGGTTGATTGCAGGGACAGCAGGAGCTATGCTAGCTCACCAAATGAGTTTTGGCTGATACCTTTTGTGTTCAATTTGATGATGTGTTTGTGGCACCTTGGCAGCATGACCATGCTGGGTGGGAGAACGCTCAGATGTGTTAGAACTGCTGTGTGCTGGCTCTCAGTGTGGCTCTCACTTTATCCTCCCATCCATCGATAAGCACAGAGCAGATGGGTGGTCCTATGGCAGCAATAGCTGTTGGAACCAGCCTGGTCTGGCCTGGTGGGTGGGCTTAGCCTCTGTGAATTGCTATGCTGAGCTGCCCCTAACCCAGTGGTCACATTCCTAGTTACTGGTGGAGCCTTGGGATTTGTAATCTGGTGAAACCCACAAACTGGGTTAAGTGTGGCATATTTTCTTGACTCTGGAATTGAAACAGCCTGAGGATACCAGGTGGGGGCCTTGTCTGACCTGAGGGCAGCAACTAAAAAGGCATCCAGGGTGTGGGGCACAGGTGTCCTCAAGTTTGATTGAGTTTAAGAGGAAAAAAATGGGTTTTAAATGTAGTATGAGTCCCTATGAGTGTTAAATTATGGGAAATTTGAAACAAAGAAAAGATGAAGAAACAGTATGGTGTTGTGTGTTACACCATGTGGTTAGGAGCAATGCAGGGACATTCTAGCCTTTCCCCAGGGGCGTGGACTTCCCTGTAGATGTGCAACAAGGAGGTACAGGGCCTCTATGTGTGCTGCTCTGGCTCCTATGTTCTCGTGTCTTCTCTCGTGGACAGTTTAGCTCTCAAAAGTCTTTATGGTCCTCGCTCACAGAGATTGTGGTCAGAGCTTGCTGTTCTAGTAGGCCCAGGCTGCACCCACACTCCTCCCTGGCCCCCAGGGTCTGTGGGGAGTCTACCTGTAGTAGAGATAGCTTCTGTCCCTCTCTAACAACATTGCGTTCGATAAATGTTTCACTAGTTGGGGTAGAAGCAGCTTTACTAGGTAAAACACATTGTGTTCCTGTGTCCTTTTCGCCGTTCCATGGCACTAGACACAGTGCACTGCAATCAACCCCACGCTGATCCTCTGACTACATGTCTCCCCAGGGGTGGATCTCATTGCTGCCTTCTACGGTTGCCTATACTGCGGTTGTGTGCCTGTCACTGTGCGCCCCCCACATCCCCAGAACCTCGCCACAACACTTCCCACTGTCAAGATGATCGTGGAGGTGAGTGTGTGTGGTGGCCTGATGTGTTAGAACTGCTGTGTGCTGTCGGACCAAGGGTTTCCTCTCCTTCCAGGGTCTGGTTATTTCTTCAGGGCCCCACAAAGGGGTTTACGCCCAGGCGTCATGTCTCATTGCAGGTCAGCAAGTCTGCATGTGTCCTCACCACGCAGGCCATTATGCGACTGCTCAAGTCCAAGGAAGCAGCAGCCACTGTAGACGTCCGGACCTGGCCCACCATTCTAGACACAGGTACCTGTCTTCAGCACCTTTGACATGCCTACGGATCCCCACCAGGACAAACCCTCTTTCCTTTCATTGTTGCAGGGTTTGCATTGTTGTCACCCAAAATACGTTAGATAAGAGCCGCTGAAGTAAATGGTGAGGAGGCTGCTAAAAGGAGCCTGCTGACTGGTTCCCAGGAGCTCATGTCCACCTACTAAAGTTGGACACAGGATGAAGGGTGACATGAAGCATAGCTCACATCATGGCAGAGTCTCTACTGCCAGGGGGAAGAAGATCCTTGCCCAAGGCCTGTGTGTCTGTGGCCTGCAGCTCATGCCACTGCCTCTCATGCCTACATAGCAGTTAACAATTGTGGGGACATGGTTAGCCCCGCAGTATGTGTGCATGCACATGCACGCCCCAACACACACCTATCCCTCACCCCTGTTATTGGTGAGTGCTGCCTAACCCCATGAAAATGAGAAGGGCTGAAAACCTCTGTCACTCTGCCTTGGCCCGTCGGGTCAACCTTATCAAGACAACACAAATGAGCAGCACCGCACCTGCTCCTTTGGTGACGATGTACTCAGCCACATGAATGCCAGGCAATGAGCAGACAGGAGTCCTGTTGACCCAATCATACTTATGTGCCTTTGTGCTTCATGGCCCCACATTTGATAGGAGGTCAGGATCTGTGTTGTCTGTGACCACCTGCTTGATACCCATCGAAAGGCATGGGAGAATGTCTATGATGCTCTCACTGTTTTTGTTGATCCTGGTTCAGCCCAGATTCTGTGACCTGTGCACTCCTCTGACCTTTTCACTGGTGACCATAGGACTTCCCTGTAGCTCTTATGGCCTATGTCCTCTCTTCCATACCCACCTCGCCCACTGTTCCTGTCCCATAGCATCAGCACTGTCTTGGTAGGTCCATGCCATTTGACCTGTCCTTGAAAGTTAAAATAAGCTTTCCCACTCAAATACACAGTCTGCTTTCCTATTGCCCAATGTCTGTTCTGAACATGCTCTCCAGGACTCCCTGGAAGAAATGGTCTCATCTCTCCTGGTGAGAGCCTGAATAGTGTTAACAGGCGTCTCCCATTAACAGATGACATACCGAAAAAGAAGGTGGCTAATGTGTTCAGGCCTCCCTCCCCGGATGTGCTGGCCTATCTGGACTTCAGTGTGTCAACCACAGGGATTTTAGCAGGTGTGAAGGTGGGTTCTTTGATCATAATTTCCACTGCTTCAGTCCCTTGACACAGGGGTGAGTAGAAGGGGTGTTAGGTTCGGGTGTGTACAAAGCCTGAGGCAACAGTGTTGTTCCTTAAAGTTTGTGTTTAATGCCAGCAAACTCCAAAGTTGGATTAACCTGAGAGTAACGCATATTTTGATGTTTTGTGATAATATCTGAACTTTCAGATTTATGGCTGACTTGCCTTGAGGAAAGTGGCTTTGATGAGTCCATATCCTTACCAGGAGCCAAGCACTCCATGAAAATTCTTTATTATCCTGAAATCTCATGTAGACGATTTCTCATGTGCCGTTTCCCAAGTATTATAATATTTGACTTATGTGGGGTTATGAGCCAGTCATCCTTTAAGGAGGTAAATGTGTCTGGCCACTGTGGACAGTAGATACTGTTTTTAATCTCTTTCTTCCTGCACGTCACTGAACAGACCTTGTATTTTACCCCCTAAGATGTCACATGCAGCCACAAGTGCCTTGTGCCGCTCCATAAAGCTGCAGTGTGAGCTGTATCCTTCGAGGCAGATCGCCATCTGCCTTGATCCCTACTGTGGCCTTGGCTTTGCCCTGTGGTGCCTGTGCAGGTGAGTGGAAGTATAGTGTGCAGGTGAGTGTGCAGATAGGGTATGCATGAAGGTGAATAGAGAAGAGAGAGAGCAGGTAATATGCAGGTGAGTGGAGGTAAAGGGTGCAAGTGAGAGTAGGTAAAGATTATAAATGAGTGTGCAGATAGATTGTGCTATTTAGTGTTCAGGTAGCGTATACAGGTAACTGTGCAAGTAAGGAGATAAAGAGTACAGGTGAGTGTGCAGGTTAATGCAGGTAGAGGTGCATGTAGGAAGAATGTGCTAATAAGTTTGCAGGTAGAGTGTGCAGGTGAGTGAAGGAAGAGTGTGCAGGTAAGGTGTACGGTTGCATGCAGGTAGAGTGTATAGGTGAGTGGAGGAAGAATGTACAGGTGAGTGGAGGAAGTGTGTGCAGGTAAGGTGTACGGCTGAGTGCAGGAAGGGTGTGCAGGTGAGTGGAGGAAGAGTGTGCAGGTGAATGGAGGAAGAGTGTGCAGGTAGGGTGTACGGCTGAGTGCAAGAAGGGTGTGCAGGTGAGTGGAGGAAGAGTGTGCAGGTAAGTGTGGAAATGAGTGGAGGAAGTATGCTGGTGAGTGAAAGTACCCCTGCTGCTGCATCCACATGCTTGATTGAAATTGTATGTAGTTCTTTAGAACTTTAGCAGTCTAAGATGCATTTTTGAGGCCAGTAAGTCAAAGATACACATATGAGTGGGTTTGTTTGGGCGTGGAGTGTGTTTGAGTATGGATCTGAAATTGAGTAAAAGAGTAAAAATACATTAAAAACAAACAAACAAACAAACATTACCCATTAGTAGTAATTGAGAGACTACTTAACTCTATCAAATACTAGGAAGTAGGGACAGGTCTTTAGAATTAGAACACTGAGTTCCCAGCCAGCAGACCCTGACCTAACTGTGACTCTAGGTCCTTATGAAGTTCTAAAGGGACACAAGAACTCCCTGTGTATTATGCCCCTTCCCCTAAAGTGTGTTTTTCACCAAAACTCTGTACATTAAGGTGCAGGGAGGCAAGGTACCTGGGGTGTGTAGATGACACACCTGGACAGAGGGGCTAACGCTGACTTGACCCTTCATGGCCCCACAGTGTCTACTCTGGACACCAGTCCGTGCTGGTGCCCCCGCTGGAGCTGGAAAGCAATGTGTCCCTGTGGCTGTCAGCTGTAAGCCAGTACAAGGCCCGCGTTACCTTCTGCTCCTACTCGGTGATGGAGATGTGCACCAAGGGCTTGGGCGCACAGACAGGTGTCCTCAGGGTGAGTGTGTCAGTGCCTAGGCCTGCTTGTGACCTACTGTCTTCATCCCTTTTTAGGAGGTGCCCAAACCAGGGGTTTCTAGGTTGGTTCTAAACCAGGTCATTGGAATATAAAAGACTCCCAACACAGTTCCAAGCAGTTGGGGAAACAGAGAAAACCCTTACCAGGCACGCTGGCTCTGTGTCCCTTCTTCCTGGCACCCACCCTGATGGGAGCTCTTTACTTACCCCTCACCCCCACCCCCCACACACACCTCTGCAGTAGGTAGTTGCTCTATCCACACACCTATGTGGCAGAATATGAGTGTGGGGTGGGCAGTCATGTGGGGCTGGCTTGCACAGGTACATGGTGGGGGTGTGGGGGAGCATGTGGAGGGGGCAGGTCTGATCCAAGCTCTGGCGCATCTTGGAGGTGTCAGGGTCCCCGAAGATCTGGGACAGGACCTGGGAGAGTCCCATGGAGCTATGGCCAGATGAACTGCAGGACTGGCTGGTGTGGATGTGGAGCAGATGGGTACCATCTGGCACTTCCATACTTAAGAATTCTGTAGAATGAGACCACAGCAGAGGAGGTGGGGTGTATGTTCAGGTCACACATGGGTCCCCTCAGGAGCTTCCTAAAGGAGTGCTCAGGGCCTGTCTTACCCTGCTCCTCCCCACAGATGAAGGGGGTGAACCTGTCATGTGTGCGCACGTGCATGGTGGTCGCCGAGGAACGACCTCGGATCGCGCTGACACAGTCCTTCTCCAAGCTGTTCAAGGACCTGGGCCTACCCGCACGCGCCGTGAGCACCACGTTCGGGTGCAGGGTCAACGTGGCCATCTGCCTCCAGGTAAGGTGGCTGGGCTGGGCATCCAAGATGGGCAGTTTTTAATTGTCGCTTTTCCTTGTTGTGTTGGCTACATTCATTTCTCATGCTCTGAGCCTTTAATGTTTCATTTCCAGTTTATTTTGGAGAACTATGAGGGTTCTATTTTTAAAAGATAATCTCTTCATGAACAAGGCTTATTTGGGGGGAAAAAAATTGTTTTTGAACAGACTATTTCTTATCTGAAAGAATCTCTCATTAAGTTGGATAAAATATGCATTTAATTTTTTACAACAATATTGTTTTAAGACATCTAGTAATTTTAAATTGAAAATTATTGCGATCATTTGTATTACCTGTAATTCATATTTGAGACATCAAGGTATTTTATTTAAGGTATTGACATGAAGTTTTAGAAATTGAACAGCTAACTGCAATGCTGTTTATTGCTTCTTCAGGTGACTCTGGTTATTTTCCAGATTTTTACTAGTATCTCAATTTCACTCTTTCTAAAAATATACTAAATGTCTGCTCACCCATGTAGAAAAGACTTATTAGAGGAAAAGGCAGTTTTGGAACCAGAGCAGGGCCCCGGTAGAGCAGTTTCTTGTTTCTGGAGCCTTGGCTCAGCTTGGCCTTCATCTCAGAGCATTCCTGTCATGGGCCAACTGTGGACCATCACCCTTTTCTCCCTTGTGCTGATGTCCTCTCAACCATGAAAAGATTGTGGTACCACTCCAAGCATCAGACCCTTGCCATGTAGCAGGAGGGAGTGGGTTGGGTGCCCTCCTCATACCCTTCCTGTTGTAGAAAGTAGGACTGAGCATCAGGCTCTTGGTGTGTAGTCAGCAGCTGTAAATGAAGGCATGTTCTCCTTACTCGATATTTGACGGTTATCTCCTCTATCTGTTGGCATGTGGGATGCCATGTGTGATTGCACAAGTCTTAATGAGATAATCACATTTGCCCTTTGAGATGCAGTGACACATTTTGCTGTCTCTTACCGTGTGTTTCTCACGTGGCCTGTTGCTTTCTGTTTGTCTCCTGTGGCCGTCTCCTCCTGTCTCACTCTGCTGGCCTCCTTTGCCTCTGTCAGCCCAACAGGCTGGGAAAGCTGGCTGAGCAGGTATGACCTTGACCTCGAGGTACCTCTGTGCTTCCCCCATGAGTTCATGTGGCTTTCTCCTCAACTTTAGACACATACGTGTTTCTTTTGCTGTCTGACTGCTCACACTGAATATTATTTTACATATTATAAAGGTTCCTCTGTAATAAAATTTAAGTAAAACTTAAAAATTTTTTTTAACATTCATAGCATTGCCTCTGGAGGGAAGGGCTGTTGAATCTCAATGAAGCAGTTTTTGTTACGTTGGCTGGGATCTTCTTAGAGTGATGTTGAGCAGAGTATCCACTTAGCTTGATTTTCCTTATCTAATAAAATAGAAAATAACATCCTTCACTCAGGGTCCAAGTGTCAGAAGGGAGGAAAGGGAGAGCATCACTCTGTGGACCCTGACTGAGCCTCTGCTGTGCTCAGCCCTCAGTAGAATTAGGTCGGCGGGAGAGAGGCCAACCCTGACCGATAGCTGGATGCAAATGCCCTCAAATCCTGTGGTGGTCTTTTCACCATAACAGAGACCAGCTGTGAGAACTGAAACGTAAAATTGTATAATTTGGCATGTTCATTCAGTGTCACTAGTGTTTCACTCAATGTTATCAAACCCTGTAATGTTTGGATGGAAGGCATCAGTGTCCCTGGGCAGGCTTTCTGCTGGAGCAGAGAAGCTGCCTTCCTGGCGACGGGGAGGAGCTGTTATATGGCTGTGCTGTGTAGATGCAGACGTGATGCTCTTCTTCCAGGGCACGGCTGGCCCGGACCCCACAACGGTCTACGTGGACATGAGGGCGCTGCGCCATGACAGGTAACGCCAGTGGTGAAGTTGTGTAGCTGGGACTGCCCTGACTGGTCCTCCTGGCACCTGGACTAGCAGATGGCTGGCCAAGCTCTACTGGGGAAACTTGGGTCTCCCTCTCTGTGTGTCTGTGTCCTCAAGACTCAGTCCATGTCCCTTTATCTATTATTCTTATGATCAGGAAGGGTGATAGGAGTTACCAAACATTTGCATTTAGCTTTTTATGGTGTTGAAGACAAGTAAAGCAACTAACGGCAGACACTTTTTTACACAGTACCATTTTAAGACAGGACTTAGTTTTTACATCAATAAATGTGTGCTGGGGGTCACAGTGTGTGCCTGAGGGTCTGGGTCCCTCCCAGCTTTGAAGCTTAGATCTGGGCTGGGCCCTCCAGTGTGCCATGCTGCAGCTCAAGGTAGACCAATTACTGTGGACAGGGCAGCTGGTTGGGGACGGCCCCCAAAAAACCTAGAATGAGCTTTTGCCTTGAGCTGTGCCTTGAGCTGTGCCAGGTGAGCCAGGCAAGTCAGGGCACCTGACGTCACTGTTCCAACGTTACAATAAGGTCATTGTCAACAAACTGACTGTCATAGTGATAATTTCTTATTATCTTATAAGTTGCCTTTTTAGAAGTCATTACCTATATAGTATATTTTATTCTGAAAATTTTCCCTTGTTAATTTTTAGGGTACGTTTGGTAGAACGGGGCTCTCCGCACAGCCTGCCATTGACGGAGTCTGGAAAGGTAGTGGAAGCTGCAATTCTCCTGATGAATACAGATGGCTATGGTCAGGCTGGGCTGGGCTAACGCAGTAGGCCTCCTCCTCACTGCAAACATGCACATGGCTTAGGTTAAGTCTTAGTTCAATATACATCTAAGCATAAAACCAAGAAAGGAGGACTTCGGGTGCAGAGACACAGAAGGAACTCCCATTGCTGGGGCTTGAGGCCATAGGGCCCCTTGGGTCAGGGCCCAGTGTCTTCATACAGTCTTGGAGCAAGGGCCAGCACAGCTACCCAACTCAGCCCCTGTGACAGCCCCGAAGTGGTTCCCTCCAGGGCCTTGGGCAGTGGGTAGAGTCCTAGACACATCTTGCAATTTTTCATTAAAGTCAGTCCAGAAGACTGGGAGCCCGTAGAGGGGTTGGGAGGGATGGGAGTGGGAAGAGTAAGGCCATCTATGGGTGCCCAGGTTAAAAATGTGATCACCATGAGATATGTAAGCAGACAGACACCCAGGGAACAGGCATCCTCAGAACCAGGGGAGGTTTGAAGGAAAAAGCCCATATGGCCCGATGATGCCATGTGATGAAGATGGTGTGCCATGGCCAGCAGACAGCAGGATAGTGGGCAGGGCTATGTGCCCAGCATGGCCAGGCACAGGAAACTCTCAATTTAGGCAGCCTACAGGGCCGCCTGACTGCTTACACACTCCTGTGGCGATAGCCTCCTTTGGGGAGGCAGCAAGGTGCCTGGAGAGGAGCCGTGTGCATGTACTAGGGAAGAGGAGGAGCAGCCAGAGGGATGTAGGGCAGAGGGCTCAGCTAGTCAGACATCCTAGGGAGGGAGCACAGTCACAGGGAGACTAACATAGCTACAGTCGAGCTGGGGGAAGAGGAGGAGGTGCAAGCCCACAGAAGCACATCTCCCATGTGCCTGCCTGTCTTTGGGGTCACCTGGAAGAGACCAGCTGAGAGATGAATATGGGCAATGACCTCCCCTTTCCAAGCACATTGCTGGAGCCCACGCTCAGTGGACAGCTTTGCTTATCCTTTTTGTATATTCAGCATATTTCCCCTCTATTATTAAGTTTCAAATGACTTATGCCTGAGGGACTTGTGTTCTGGAAAAAGCTCTGGCATTAGGGTTCAGGTGGGCTCCATGGAAAGAGGCCAGGGGCTCCAGAAGCATTCACGAAAACAGGACTGTCCCACTGGTAGCGTGTGGCAAGGATACAACAACATGCAACAACAGTGGGAGGAGAGGAGGGTCTGGCACTGGCTATAGGCAACAGCCTAAACTCACACCCTCCATGTAAGTGACCCCTCATCCCTTCCCACCTGCCTGGGGGACCTCACTGTCGTCATCATTTTGTACATGAGGAAACAGGACACAGAACAGGTGACTATGCTTGGAGTCTCCCCGAGACCAGGCGTGGGGTTTCCCTGATTTGAGGCACCCTGCCCTGGAATGTTTTCCATGGCTCCTGGGTATGAGCTGGTGACTCTGTCTGTCTGAGTCGACTGAGTTGACACAGAGCAGGTGGATTGACTTTTGAGTCATGGGAAGGAAGGGCTCTTCAAGGTTAGAGTTCCAGCCCAGAACTAGGAGGCTTGATGAGTCCTTGCATGACTAGACTCGGGCGCAGCTAAGGGGGGTAGGGGGGAGGGCTGAGTGGCCTTCTGACTTGTGTACCCCACAAGAGGCAGGCAGTCCTCGAGGGGCCTTGTTGAAAGATCCCAAGTAGAACAGATGCTTACATAGACCCTCCTTGCCTCTCACAACATCTAAAATAAAGTCCATTCTTAGGAACTAGGGTCATTTTGTTAAGATTCACATATATTTTTATCAGTTAAAGTCTTATTCCTGTTCAAATTCAAATTTAGCTTGGCATTAAATCTCCTGATCACTTACATGTACATATCATGTTGTTTGGATTAGCTTCCGAGGGCTGTTGTTTTTAATGGCATTGAGTGCAGAGTCTTGTGTTTTCTTTGACATGGGCATGGTTTTCCTTCCAGATCCTCCCCGGAGTGAAAGTCATCATTGCGCACACTGAGACCAAAGGGCCCCTTGGAGACTCACACCTGGGAGAGGTGAGGCTGTGGGGTGGGTCCGGAGCCTCAAGCACCTCAGGTGCTGCTCCTCCCCCTCTTCCCATCTGCCAAGCTATTTTCCTTTCCCTGCCTGCCCCTGGGCACATTTGTGCTCCTGTACCCAGTACTTGGGTAAGATTTCCTGGACCAACGGGATGAGTCTCCACTCTGGGTTCCCTACCAGCAAAGGGAAACCTTGAGTTTTATAGGTACTTGGAGACCCTAAGAGTCTCACAGGAACCCGCAGCATGGAGAAAGCAGCTGTGTCTTAAAACAAAGTTCCTGAACCAAGTGAGGAGCCACTGGCCTGAGGAAGGGGCTGGCACGGTACAGACACTGAGTTGGGAGGCGGGGTCCTCTACTCCTGAGGACACGTCCCCTGGACACACACAGGCTGTGCAAAATCATTGTGCTGACATAACTGCATTTATGCATATGTATCCAGTGTAACGAGACAGGTGGGACTTAATACCGGAGGCCAGGGTGGCAGGAGAGTGCAGGTCACAGCCTGAGTGCCCACGTTGGTTCTGTTATTATGGGAATGGTCTTATCCTCCCAGTTCCAGGCCCTAGGGATATGCCATGGAACCTATGTCCTGGCATCAGGGTCTCTGGTGTGGATAACCTCCGTGGTCCTGGTAGATGGCACCCAGGGGCAGTCATGCAGACACTGCCCAGTCTCAATCTAACTGAGACGAGGGTGTGAGTGAGCCTGGGGGACTCCCAGGGATTGCTCAGTGTCCTAGTGGGAAGATGTGCCAGTCCCAGTGGGTGGGATTGGGGTGGGGCCTCCCTTCTGGCCATTGACCTGGGCCTGTTAGGGTAACATTGTGCCCCCAAGATAGTCATGGAGGGTCTGTGCTAACCTGGTCCCCACCTCTTGTGGCAGAAGCCCCTGTCAGCTTCCCTGGGATATATAAAGCCAGGTACTTGATCTGGGGAGCTGACGGTGGGTCCTGGATGGGCTCTGTATTTAGAAGGAGCCCCAGTACAATGGGTACTGCTAGTATGTGTGCACCTGAGAATATATGGATGTATCTTAACTCATACATACACAGGTAAGTCTGGTGCAGGGTTTGCCCACTCAGTGAGCCTCACTCCATCACTTGTCCCTGTGTGGACCTGTCCATCGCTTCTCGTCCTTATTGACAACAGTAGTTTGATGTGAGGAGAGGGAGTCACTCCGTAAGCTCATTTACATTACAGAGTCGTGGAGAGGAACTCTCCATTTGAAGGAGAGAAAGTTACTTGTTTGCTTTCCATACCTTTAATTTTAACTTAGTTCATAGGATAAGGGACCGTGAAAATGCCTTGCCTTTATGCAGTTCTCTTGGCGAGTGGATGTCTCATGATAATCTGTGCTCAGCTCCTTCTTGTCCTCTGGGCCCCACAGATCTGGGTTAGCAGCCCCCACAATGCCACAGGCTACTACACAGTCCATGGAGAGGAAGCACTTCATGCTGACCACTTCAGCGCCCGACTGAGCTTTGGAGACACCCAGACCATTTGGGCAAGGACTGGCTACTTGGGCTTCCTTCGGAGAACAGAGCTCACCGATGCCAGTGGAGGTGAGGGGCTACGGTGACCCTGTGTCAGCACTGTTGGGGTGAGGTGCTCTGTCCACAGCCCACAGGGTCTGCTGCTGCAGCTTGTGAGCCTGACAGGCACGGGCAGCATCTCAGGGATTCCTGCTAACTCACCACACCCCTTGCAAGAAGCTTGTATCTTTGGGTGTGGGGTGAAGGGTTAGCTCTGGCAGTGATGTTCTCTGAAAATTCCTATTTTTCCCTTTGTGACCGTCCCTCACTGTCCTTGGACCCTTGGCCTTTGCTGAATTTGTGGGTTTGTTGGTGAGAGCCGCCTGCATATTTCACCTCCTCACACATGACCCCTTATAACTGCAAAGTCCGTAGGCCCCAGCCAAATCAAGTCAGAACTTTTGGTAGCCTCTGTAGATGCTGTTTCGTTTCCAGAAATAGTAAATATTATTTTAAAATATTTTTTCACACATTGACATAATTCTTTGGAATCAAGGGGATGGACAGCACCTTTATCAGGCTCTGCTGCACCCCTCACCCATTAGGAGGCTTGGTTTTCAAGTGATGTTGGAATAGTGAGCTTCCTGATCCAGAGAGCCCAACTCAGGCTGACACAGATGTGTGGAGGGGGTCCATATCGCACTGTGCCTTTCTGATGTGTGCAAACTGTGTCCTTCATAGAGCGACATGACGCCCTCTATGTGGTTGGGTCTCTGGATGAAACACTGGAGCTGAGAGGCATGCGGTACCACCCCATTGACATCGAGACGTCCGTGATCCGGGCACACAGGAGCATCGCTGAGTGGTAAGAGCCCTAGGAGGGCGAGTCCCATTCAGCAGCCCCCACAATGGCCCCTCATCTCAGGCAGAGCCAGGGACTGGTCAGGCTTCCGGCAGAACCTGATTACAAGCACATGTTGGCAAAGCCTGCCTCTCCCAGAGCTGACCCTGGGCTCTCCAGACCTGCTCTAGGAAACCCGCACCACAGACCCCTGGTGCAGTCCTTTGGTTTTGCTTGGACTTTCCTTTATTTCCTAGTCAGTGTTAGACCAAGCGTTTGGCCCTGAATGAACAGGCAAAGTGTGAGGTCTCCACAGTTTTCCTGGTGTTTCTGCTTTTACTATGAATTTTCTCATTTAAATGGTTGTGACTGATAATTTATTCACCATTTGGGGAGTTTGCATTGGGACAGGCTCAGCTTTCAATATCAAATAATACATGCTTCTGATTTTTAACAAGAACTTTCATTAGCCGAAACCGGTTTGGCTCAGTGGATAGAGCGTTGGCCTGCAGACTGAAGGGTCCCAGGTTCGATTCCAGTTGAGGGCATGTATCTTGGTTGTGGGCACATCCCCAGTAGGGGGTGTGCAGGAGGCAGCTGATCGATGATTCTCTCTCATCAATGTTTCTAACTCTCTATCCCTCTCTCTTCCTCTCTGTAAAAATCAATAAGATATTTAAAAAAAAGAACTTTCATTAGAATATAGTCCTAGACAGCACATTTAGCCTAGCCTTTCTTTTTTTTTTTTAAATATATTTTATTGTTTTTTTTACAGAGAGGAAGGGAGAGAGATAGAGAGATCGGAACGTCAATGAGAGAGAAACATCGACCAGCTGCCTCTTGCACCCCCCCCACCGGGGATGTGCCCGCAACCAACGTACATGCCCTTGACCAGAATCGAACCTGGGACCTTTCAGTCTGCAGACTGACGCTCTACCACTGAGCCAAACCGGTTTCAGCTAGCCTAGCCTTTCAGTTGTGAATGATGTTTAACAGCAGGGCAGTGTCAATAAATATACTTGTTTTTTTCCCTCTCTTCTCTATTTGGCATCATTTCCTATGTATTTGTGGGTCCTCAGAAGCAGATGTCCATGCCCTTTGATGCCATCTGTCTTCTCCCTGCAGTGCCGTGTTCACCTGGACCAACCTGCTGGTTGTGGTGGTGGAGCTGGACGGGCTGGAGCAGGACGCACTGGACCTCGTGGCCCTGGTGACAAATGTGGTGCTGGAGGAGCATCACCTGGTCGTGGGGGTGGTGGTCATTGTCGACCCAGGCGTGATCCCCATCAACTCTCGGGGTGAGAAGCAACGCATGCACTTGCGTGATGGTTTCCTGGCTGACCAGCTGGATCCAATCTATGTTGCCTACAACATGTGAGCACCGCTCACCAGCTCCAGGGTTCTGTCCAGTGTGAGGCTTCCAGGGGTTGGAACCATGTGAAGGTGTTTAAACATGTGAAGACACCGCAGTGTGTCCATAGCCACCAGGACAAAGGACTGCAGCCATCACGGAATACTGCACCCTTTGCCCTACTTTTAGAGATTGGTCTCAAAGTTCCCCAAATCTTATTGAGAAGCCACTTCCTGAATTATTTGAAGAAATTTTTTAATCTTCAAGGACATTTACAAAAACATAAATGTCAGTATTTTAACAGATAGGTGACTGGGAAAGGAAATGAAAGGCTGGCCATGGGTATCATGAGGAATTGCAGGTGTGCAGTTTGTTTTCTACTGTATTGCAAGTTTGCACTTTTTAGACTAAAGATATAGTTCTTGATTTTAAAAATTCAATTATTTATTCCCACTTAACATGACAAGTTTATATGTAGAACTTAAGCTAGAAAGAACTTGAGGCCCCAGTACAACTGATTCACAAGGAGAAGCAGAGTCCAAACAGGCTGATGAGAAGGGAAGCAAGACGTGCCCACTCCTCCTACCCCGGCGCTTGGCACTCTAGTTACAGGGTGCTTCCTCTCTCCCAGTTTATTAAAACAGCTGTGCCCGATTGTCTGCACACATTGTCACTGATGCTCAGTAAGTGCATTTGGGGCTGTCAATGTAGATGCTCTGTTTCGGAAAGATAAACCAGCATTTAGTTTTAAACCACTTTCCTAGGTTTGTAAGTTAATGCTGTTTAGCTAAACACTTGTTTTCGTAACATCACAATATAAATTCTTCTGAGTACATGGAAGTACACTGAATTTTTTTCATCCCAAATTAACAGATTTGGAAGCATTGATGGCAGTGTCTGAGGTTTTCACATCCTCAGTGCAGTCGAGCTGTGGGGAGAGCCTTGCCCCATGTTGAAGGTGGGCCTGGTAACCCTCACCCTGGCTTTCACATTTTGAGTTGTATGCCTATTAAATTTGGCCAGACCATATTCAGTGATGACTAAATGGAATGATGTTACAGTAAACCTAAATCAAAGAGTATATAAAATCCTTTAGAAACTTATAAGAATTTGAAGTGAAGCTCAAATCTAGGACATAGAGTATTTTTATATAGCTAATAAAGAGTATGTTATGAAGTTGTTGGGCTTGGGGGCAACTGTGGATGGGAAAGTTTATGGATCATGCATGCTTCGTAGAAACAAACAGGTTTTTCTGGAACTAGCCTGAATCAGTGCCTAACAAAGCTGTTACTAATTCTCTACCATTTAAAATTCTCCACCAAATAAGTCTGGCTAACTAGGCTAACTCTCACATTTTACTCTTATTTGGCTACTAATAGCAGGTGCATTGTAGCTCTGTTTGCCTGTGGTGGTGGACTGCAGTTAGTATGTTACAGCATACTGGAATTGTAATAATCTATTGTAATTATGTACATAATATGTGTAACTTATTGTTTGACATACAGATAACAGATATTCCTTAAAATAGAATGGCCGGCAGGGGAAAGAACTACCTAACCCTAATCTTAATGTTGTAGTTTTGTAGCAAATAATGTAAAATTTTTGTATTGAAAGGTCAGTGGCAGTAAAACAAGGTGTCTTGTAAATTAAGACTTTAAGAAGCACATTAAAATGTTTTAAGATTACTCTCTGGGAATTCTGTATATCACACTAAAATTTTTTTATATCATAATGTTAATAAAAGTTATTGATTTTGTAATTCTGCATTTTGAAATGTGTGAAAAGGTTTTTTAAATGATCTCAAAATAGGATGTATTTTATTATGCATTTACTTTTTTCTGAATATAAAAGCATTTATGCATATAGCATAAAATCTACAAAACACATTAAAGTGTAAAGAAAAAAATCTATAATCCTACCTCTGAGTAATATAGCAGCATTAGTATTTGACGTGAATCTTTTTGGGGATTTTTTTTTCCTTTTAAAATTTTTTACAAAATTAGAACCATATACTTTTATAATCAGCTTTTGTACTTAATAAATTAGACTTTTAATATGTTACATATATTCTTCTACATGTTTTAATGACTGTATAGGTGTGTCATGACTAAAGGTAGCTTTTGCTCAATTGCTGTTGTCCATCATAGTTCTTTCAACAGTGCTGCAGTGAACCTCCTCTCAGATGTGTGTGTGCACGTCTGCAGTTACAATTACTGCCTCCGGCTTACTTCCTATAGGTGGAGTGGAGGTAAGAGTTCATGCCAGGCTTGAAGCCTTGGGTGCTTACTGCCCCAGTTTTCCTGCATCCAGCTCTGTCTGTCAGAGTTTAAGGAGGGAACCTGTTTACACGAGTCTGTGAAATGTTTAGGCAGGATCTTGTGGAGTTTGCCAAGGGCGATGCAAAGTGAGAAATTGAGAAGTTATTTCTAATTCTAAGTGCCAATTAAGTATAGTGTACCTTGTTCCCCAGACCCTCCAAGTGACTGAAAAGGCCAAATATCATGAATGATCATTAAAGATACTGTTTAAAAGCAAAAACTGAAAAAGGACAATGAGGGACCAGATGAAGCTTTGAGGAGAGATGTATGGCCACCCATTGCCACACCCAGCAACAGTGAGCTGGACTTGCAGGCGGGTACACCCAGATGCTGCCATCGGCTCCAGATGGAGAGCAGGGGAATGAAGGCCACCTATGGGCTGTTGTTGCATGCTGATGAGTGCAACACAAGTTCAAAGATAGCAATGTTTACCACTTACTTTACATTAAAAAGTAGGGAAAGATCAACTTCTGGCACGACAGTCTGAGAAGCTCTGTGAACCTGATATTCAGAATAACAGGTGAAAATTATTGTTTAAAAAAAAATCACTTAAAGCCTTTGGAAATGAACCTAGAACATACAGCAAATGGAAAAACAACTGTGCATGAAAGTTCAGTAAGAAAATCAAGAATCTTATTTGAACCAAGACTGATCTCCTGGGAGATCTATTCCATCCAGCCTCCACTCATGGGATGCAGCCTCTCCCTTGGATGAAGTGGCTCTGACTGACCTTGACCATAAGATGGTGGTGCCATGCCAGAAGATGCAAACTGAGAAGACCTCTGGCTACTGCCCCAGAGGTGCCTGGGTCTAGCAAGAGAGAAACAACTTAACACTTGCAAGAGAACTCCAGTAAATTGACAGCTGAATTCTTCCCAGCAATAATGGAAGCCAGAAGGCAGGGGGTTAACATGTTCTAAGAACCCAAAGGAAAAAAAACAACCAAGACATGTATATCCAGCAAAGCTATCTATCTTTCAAAAGTGGAGGCATAATACATTCTCAAATAAAAAGAGTGAATTTGTTTCTAGCTGACATGCATTATCAGAAATACTGAAGTTCTTCAGGCTGAAAGCAAGTGATTTCAGATGGTAATTTCAATTCACATGAAAAAACAAAACAAACAAAAAAACACACCGTACTGGTAAAGATAAAGGTAATTATAAGACTATAAATTGTAATGTCCCTGCTCAGGGGTCCTCAAGATGGTGAGGACTTCCCTACCCAATGCCTTGCACAGTATAATCAAGTGAAAGGGCGGGCACTATTCCTCTGTAAGGACCATACAGGCAGACAGTTCTGCCTTACCAACCCAGTGCTTCCTAATTTCCTTGTTAAAACAGTCACACAGCCAGACACGGTCCCCTCCCAGATCTGGGAGACCTGTCACTTGGGATATTTAACAGGACCCAGTAGAGTTTTGTGTGGAAGGAGCTGTGGGACCCATGTGGCTCAGCATTTCCTCCCCAGTGTCTATCCCCAGCCCCTCAGAGGGGAAGATTTCTGGAGCAGTCTTCACTGTGTGAAAGGTTTCCAGAGACCCCTATGTTCAATGCGGGGGTTGGGTGAGGGGTCTTCAAGAGAGCCTGGGGGCACTGGGCTTTGTTCTTGAGGTTGCCAGCCTCAGCCTAGGCTCTGCCCCATGTCCAGCCTGTGCCCAAACCTCCCTGCTTTGCCTCCTGCCAAACTGCTTGAATGATGTTTATTTTTCACTCTTCTAAGAAGCCAGCCCTTTTCTCATCGAACACAGAGAAAAAAGGTTGTGCTAGAATCTCATCTGGCCAGAACTGCAATGATAAGAACCCAAGTTATGAGGACCAGAGAGGGATGAAACCTCCAAAATTAAACATCCTGATCAAGAAAATCTTAACACTATGCAACCAATAAGAAATTGCACATGTAAACTGGCTGAGAGGCTCATGTGGTTGCCATCTAAACCCCCAATTTTAACCTGTGCTCATCAAAACTGTTTTTTACTGAATTTGAATCTGATAAATTTAAACTAAAGATAAGTAAAAACCCAGAAACAGCAATCAAACCTAGGAGCCTCATGGGATAGAGTTGTGGGCCTTCCCAGAGCTTCCTGGGAAGAGTTGTCACTGTTCCCAGGGCCTCAGCTGGTGTGTGAGAGTTGAAGGGCCCCTCTTGCCTTGGAGACTAGGGTGGGGTCTTGCAGGGTGGAGCTGCAGGGATGTCATGCTGGGATATAAACTGCCCACAAGGAAGACATTCAGAGTAGGGCCCCAGGTGGCCCGGGAGAAAATGTACTTCCTTTGGTGGCTGCAGGAGACATGGTCTGCTTAGGACAGGACCCATCCTGTGGAGGTGAAGATCTATCGTGCTATTGTGAGGGCCAGCTGGTAGAGGCCCCTGGGTGACTCCAGGGCCAGAGATGGCAAGGGGCAGGTGGAATCCTCATCTGCCCAACCTCAATGTCCCTCCCCCCTTTGTTCCCAGGGGGGCAGGGCCAGGGTGAAAGGGAAGAATGACCCAGGACTCAGGAATCCAGGGCCTTCCTGAAGTCCCTGTGCCTGCTGGGAGCTCTCTGTGGAGACCCCCAGTGGTAGGCAAACTCATTAGTCAACAGAGCCAAATAACAGTACAACGATTGAAATTTCTTTTGAGAGCCAAAAATTTTAAACTTAAACTTCTAATGCCACTTCTTCAAAATAGACTCGCCCAGGCCGTGGTATTTTGTGGAAGAGCCACACTCAAGGGGCCAAAGAGCCGCATGTGGCTTGCCGACCACTGCCCCAGGCCATGTGTTCCCCCTTCATGATAATAAGATTAGGATGCCTCAGTGGCAGGAAAGTTTGACAGCTGTGTTGCCCAGACTTGGAGCAGGGATAGCAGTACATGCTGGGATGGTCCACATGGTTGAGTGGAGGCTGGGTCCCTGCAGGCCCCAGACCCTGACAGCACTTGTAAGTGCAGGACCAACAAATGGGATCCTCTGCTCCGTCTCCGTCTCTGCCCCCACCCACCACCCCCCAGCCTTTATGCTGCTGTCAGGGACATTCTCTGCGCTACTTTGGCCCCATCTTGTGGATTAAAAGGGTAACTGAAGGGGCTCGGCGCTGTGTGTGGCTGAACTGGGTCATGATGGGAAAGGCAGTGTGGGACAACAGAGATCATTTTAAATTCAGAGTTCCCTTTATAGGGACCTGATTCTCCCTAGAGATGTCCGAGGCAGTGCCCCCATACCGCCCATTCATTGAACCAGACAGTGCCTCTTGGTGAGAGCAGGTTCCTCAGCTGAGGGCAGGGCAGGGGAGGAGGATGGACATTTACAACCTGGAGCTCACCATAGTTTGTGGCAGAAAGCCCCCAGGAGTCCCTGAGGATGGCCGTGCAGTGCTGAGGAAGTCTCTCCTGGGGGAAAGGCACATCATCCCCTGGATGTGGGGTCAGAAGGCAAACACAGCAGCTGCACTAGGCAAGCCCCTTGGTGGCCGGTACACTCTTTCCATTTCTTTCCTCTGCTTAGGAAGCAGGCTGTCATCTGAGAACTGAGGCATCTTGGGATTCTTGGGATCAATGGGGACAAGGGAGGTACCAGGAAGGACCTACTCAATTTCTGGCTAAGGCAGCAGGGCTGTCCTCCGGTGATGAAAGGAAGTGTAGAGAGTGGTCTGACGGTTAAGCTGGCCAGGTACAGACACCTCACACACTGCAGCTCAGAGCCAACCCACCACCCACCTCCCTCTCCCTGGCCCCTCTGTGCACAGGGTGTATCTATGCTTATCCTGGGGCTGAGTCAGACAGACTCACTCTGGGCTCCCAAGCCAGCTGCCCTGTGTCCCACCATTGCCTAGGATGGGGTACATCATCTGCAGGGCACAATGCACAATGCAAACGCCAGGCCCCTCGTCCATAAATGACCAAATATTTCAAGACAGCAACAGCAAAGTGCTGACCTGAGCACGGGCCCGTGGTTCTCCCAGGTTGACCCGTCTGAAGCAGCGGATGGATTGGCCCCAAATCTCTTCTTCACTCTGTTATGGACTGAGAAATTCCCAAGGCCAGCGCAGCAGCTGTGCACCATAAATTCCACAAGGCCAGCACGGCAGCCGCTGCCCAGCTCGTTAAAACAAGCTCATTAAAAGCAGGATGTGCTGACCACTATGTGATACAAGAAGGGTAAGGCCAGGGGGCGGGAGGAGGAAGGGAGAACTGACATGTTAAACGTAAAATAATTGAGAATTGCTGATGGCTAAAGGCAGATATCCGCTTCTGTACACGTATTAATAGCTTGCTTGCTTGCTAAGGATGAGAAGCCTATATAAGCAAAAGGCTTCTAAAGCGTGGGGCTGCAGTCCGGTCCCGTCTTCCCTGCATGAGCCGGCTGCACACCCTGCGCAGGAAATAAAAGCGCTTTTCTAAAAACTTTCGATCTGTGTCCCAGTGAGGTGTCTCTCCTAGGTTACAACTCCCACCATCGTCTCTCCTGAGACCCCTGGCCTCAGCTGGGAAGCCCAGGAGCGCTTTAGGGGATTAAGGCCGAGTTCCTCCGGCCTCTAACCTGTAGCCCTCCCAGCCCTGGGGGCCCTCGCTTCCTGCGGGGCCTCCAGCCCGCCCCTAGCTGCGTCCCAGGCGAGGGGCCCCTCCACCGCGGGGTCCGCGCTGTGGGCCCTGCTCCCCCTGTTCCGCCGGAGTGTGTCTGAGGGGGGCGTGGCCGAGCCGGCGGTTCCGCTCCGCCAGGGCTCGGCCACGCCCCCTCTTCCTGTTGGGCAGCTCCCCTTCCTGGCTATTGGTCCAGAGGAGGACACGTGACGCCAACCGGAAGTTTCTGGAGAGAGCTGGCGGGCCGACTGAAGAGAGGGAAGGCCGTCCCACCACGTGCCGCCCCGCCTCCCTCCCCTCGCCCCACCTCTCCCGCTCCGCCCCGCCCTCCCCGCCCGCCCCGCCCCTCCCCTGCCCTCCGCGCACCCTGCCCCGCCCGCCCCGCCGCCTTCTTAAGGTGCCCGTCCCTGAGCCCCCCGGTGCACCCACCCCGGCCTTGGTGAACCTGCAGCCGCGAGAAAACCAGGCCCCCTCGACTTTGCTCCTCTTTCCATTTTGCAGGTTTTTTTTTTTTTTCTTAAATAGGTATTTCGTTTTTATTTCACGTTTTAACCACGGCTATGGAGACGTAGCACAGTGTTCTTTTATTGAATGCAAATACAAGCGATCAACGGTTTTACGAAGTGTGTGTCTTTACGTAATACAGAGCAGGAAAAGAGGTGGGTAGGATTAATCTGAATTTTCCTGGAAGCGATTTTTAAAAAATATTTGTAACGATTATTTGAAACTTGATTTATTTGAATTCGTAGATACAGGAGCGTTACGTCCAGCTTTCCAAGTACACTGACTTTTATCAGCAGCGCAAACAAGGTAGGAAAGACATTCACCAACAGACCGGACACATCAGTAGTAACCCATCATCTCACACACGGGAGACTAAATCACTTGTCTGCGGGGAGGCTGGCCTGAAACCTTGGTCCTGAACCTGCCCATCCTCCTGCAAAACCCGCGTCCCACAGATCCAGCAAAGTGTGAGCCTATCGGGAGAATTCCACTGAAGGTTGAATTTTGCTTCTCAGTTTCGATTAGAGTTAAGGTTTCAGTACTTGTTGGTTTATGGGACACGTTTTTCCATTTAGAACGGTTAGCATTAAATATCTACTCAGGAATCACAGCTCACCACAGGAAAAGGGATCTAAATGAAACCATGCTCTAAGGGCTAGTGGACAGCATTTTCACACCCTCTAACTATGTTGGGTTTCATTGGCACTGATGAACAAATAAGTGGAGATTTAGGAAACCACAAATATCCAGAATCCTATTCGGTAGTCAGGTTTTGTTTGTTTGTTTGTTTTTCTGGGTTAGGATTTGGTATAGCCCAGGCTTTGTGACTGAGAATTGACTTTCCTACATGATATTACCAGGAATCCCAGGGAACCAGTCAGCTAGCACATATGCCTAATATAGCAGAAGGAATGATGGGGGCCATTAAAACAACCCTTGGAAAGAGATTTTCGATTTTTCATTCACAAAGAAAATGAAGCTTCCTAATTGCTACGACACAGCTGGAAAGCTCAGCTCCTGCTAGCCTACAAGCCCTCACTCTCTGCTTCCTTGTGTGACTTCGCCTCTGCTGCAGGGACAGCGTGGCTGCTTTCTCTAGTTCACTCATGTGCAAAGAATTCGTGGCAGGCTGTGGTAATCATGGCGATGAAGGCCACAAATTCCTGGAAGTCACATTCGCCATCTCCATCGCTGTCCAATGTTTCCATGACTTTATCCACAGCCTCCTGCTCTTTGATTTCCTAAGAGAGATCAGTCACTCAGCTTGTTTTCAAATGAAATTGAAGGCCATCAAAACATGATTAAAAGTTGGCTGGTTTAAATAACCTGTAGCAGGAACAACCTAAGATATAAAATGCAAAATACCAGGAAGATTTCTCCTGGGACCAGAGGACTGTTGTCCAGGGGTTTGTGCCTCCTCTACCTTCCTTACGTTAGGTCCAGAGTGACCTGGACTATTTGAAAAGACTGACTGGAACAACCAAGATTTGAAAACCTGCAGGTTGTTATCACTATACCTGGAAAAAAAGAGTAGCATCTCGATCAGCCAGAGTATATTATAGGAAAATGTCTTGAAAGAAAAGAAAGAACTTTTGGCCCCCCCCCCAAAAAAAAAAAATTGTCAGTTTCTGTGTGTAGAAGTTCCCACAGTGAAGATTTCCATGGGTTTTTATGTTTTGAAATTTTTCCTTTTGTTTTTTGGTTGTTGAAGTAACTCTTCAGCATGTCCTAAATTTGTGACCTCCTTGTGTTCCTTTTGCCACTTGAGCTGCTTTCTAGGTGTCATGGAACTTTTTCTGTCAGTTCTTCCCAACACAGAAGCCAAGGGAATAGTCTTACAAAGTCTCTGAAGAACAAACACGAGCCCTAAACATGTGAGAATGTGGCATTTTGCACTGAAAAAGAGCATCAGTGCAGGTTGTTCAGAATAACAATCCCCAGTGCAGCAGAGGTTGGCCTGAAAAAGTCCAGTGTAATGTTCAGTGGCTGCCTTCAATCTAAAACATGTAAAAAAAAACTGAGCCAAGCCGGCGTGGGACAGTGGTTGAACCAGGAGGTCATGGTTCGATTCCCAGTCAGGGCACATGCCTAGGTTTCGGGCTCAATCCCCAGTGTGGGACATGCAGGAGGCAGCCATTCAATGATTCTTTCTAATCATTGATCTCTCTCTCTCTCTCTCTCTCTCTCTCTCTCTCTCTCTCTCTCTCTCTCTCTCTCTCTCTCTCTTTCTCTCCTCCTTCTCCCTCTCTGAAATAAACAAACATATATTTAAAAAAAATAAAACATGTAAAAACTGAGATTCCAGCGGGGGTTGGGCGGGATCTATAAGTGTAGGTTAGAAGATGGATGGCAGCAGTGTATTATTTCAATTATGCTATAGGTTTGCCTCCTAACCAAAATTACCTTGATAAAACTAGGCCAACAAATGTTCATGACACCTTGGCATACTTACCTTGAATTACTTATCTTTTATAAATTGTGGTTACCATATGTTAAGCTTTTTCTATATTTTCAAATCAATAGCAGTTACTGGTTTTTGAACTTACACTGTGTGTTAAGCACTTGACAAAAACTATCATTTCATCCTCACAATCCTTTTTACAGAAGTAACTGGGACTTTGATTAAGTTAGAAGGCAGGATTGGTGGGACTGAGTAATTGTACATGTGAGTGAGGCAGCTGCCACTTGGACTTAATGCCTGAGAAGTCAGTACCAGATTCAGACTAGGGCAGTGGTCGGCAAACTCATTAGTCAACAGAGCCAAATATCAACAGTACAATGATTGAAATTTCTTTTGAGAGCCAGATTTTTTAAACTTCTTCTAACGCCACTTCTTCAAAATAGACTCGCCCAGGCCGTGGTATTTTGTGGGAGAGCCACACTCAAGGGGCCAAAGAGCTGCATGTGGCTCTCGAGCCGCAGTTTGCCGACCACGGGACTAGGGGATGCCTCCCCCATCCCACCACAAGCCTTCAAGTCACTTCCTCTGCTCTGGTGGTGCCGTTCGCAGCTTGGAGTTTTGCGTGGGGGTGGGACAGGAGAACCAAGCCAGCGGCAGACAGTGGGGGCTGCCCTGATGCTGGGACCTGGGGCTCACCCTGCCCTGAGAGGCTCAGCTGGCAGGGATGGTGGCTCCCTATCACCATCCCTCAGGAGGCTCTGGTGTCTTTCCCGGAATTAGCTCCTGGGCAGGCATCAGTGTACTGGTGCACTGGTTGGCCTTTTCCCTGTGTGTGACTAGTCACTTCAGGACCTTGATTCTGGGTACTAAGGTCAAGCACCAGTAGATTGCAGTTCACTGCCTTGAGGGTGTAAGACTGGTGTGCAATAGAGATAATGGGCAGCTGATCCAAGGGCGGGAGCTAGTGGGTATGGAAGTGAGTCCTCCATGAGGGGTCTGGACATTCTTTTACCACAGATCAGAGTGGGACCTGTGTGGGGGAGGACGGGGTCCTCTCCGATGCCTCTTATTCCATGAAACCCCCTGCAAGTCCCCAGTTCCTACTACACACAAAACAAATGAAAATAAGGACAATGGGGCTCAGCTAAGCTAACTTCCATAATGAGTGTTCAATTGTGCAAACGAGTTTTCAGAAGCAACCTAGGAGTCCTGAAACAGACCCGGAATCACCTTCATGTCTGCTCTGAAGAGAAGTGCACAGGTGGTTTATAAGTGGAGAGGAGAATGCACAAAGACTCACCTCTAGAAAATGGGAAAGCTCGTTGTTGATGAGCTCCTTGAGTTCGGATTTCTTCAGCTTGTGCTTGTCGCCCTCCTTTCCGGAATATTGATGGAAAACATCAATGAGGGCCACCACGGCCTTCTCCAGCTCAGACATCCTAGGGTCCACAGAGGAAAGATGCTTTTTCATGCCTTTTGCTTTGCTTCACAAAGAACAGTTAACATGTTACCTATACAGACATCCACCCAGAGGAGGGGACTGGGTCAGCCTTGGTTCACCTCCAATGTCAAGCTTGGAGCAGGGCCTTCTGGGAACTTGCTCAGTGGTCACTAGTCTCCCACACACTTTTTAGATCCACTCCTCTCTTTGCCCCCCTTCTCTGTCCCTGTTGGCTACCTCGACAAGTTCCCAGGCCCTCTGGCTTCTGATTGGGTTTGGCCAATGGGACACACCAGCAAAAATATGAAGGCAGCCATAGCTGGTTCGGCTCAGTGGATAGAATATCAGCCTGTGGACATTTGATTCTGGTCAAGGGCATGTACCTTGGTTGCCGGCACATCCCCAGTGGTGGTGGTGGGGGTGGTGGTGTGTGTAGGAGGCAGCTGATAGATGTTTCTCATGTTTTTTCTCTCATCAATGTTTCTGACTCTCTATCCATCTCTCTTCCTCTCTTTAAAAATAAAAATCAATATATATATATATTGATTTTTATTTTTATATATTGATTTTTAATATATATATATATATATATATATATATATATATATATATATATTTTTTTTTTTTTTTTTTTTTTTAAATGAAGGCAGCCCTGACTCATGTGGTTCAATTGGTTGGGCATTGTCCTGTGCATCAGAAGATTGCTGGTTCAATTCCTGGCCAAGGCACATGCCTGGATTTGGAGCTCAATCCCCTGTAGGGGGTGTGCAAGAGGCAGCCAATCACTGTTGCACTCTCACGTTGATGTTTCTCTCCCTTCCTCTATCTCTAAAAATTAATTTAAAAATGTTTTAAAAATATGAAGGCAGAGCAGTGAAGGAGTTCTGAGATTGATCCCTGCTTTCTACCTTGGGCACCCTCTGCCCTGGCAGGGCCCCAAGTCAGTGACAGCTGCTGAGCAGATGCTGCAAGCTGTTAGAATTAATAAGAAAGAGGTAAGGTGACTAGGAGCCAAATGAGGGTATAAACATCAATAGTAGTCTTATATCTTGTCACTAAACAACTGGAAAACAGGAGGAGAATTCCATTCATACAGTAGCACATACGGATTACTAAGAATATGTTTAGTATGAAAAGTGTAGGTCTTTCCAAAAGATTTTAAAGATCATAAAATGTAGGAATTTGCTTTCCTTTGAATTAATATCTAAATTTAACTCATTTTTTAATAAAAAAAAAATTTACTGAAAAAAATTAACATGGTAGAATTTCCACAAATTTTTTTGAAAAAGAAGATCAGTGAAGGGTACTTTGACCTACTAGAAACAACACTGTATTATCGGTTATACTGTGAGGCCTGTTCCCCTACAGGGACAGGCCAGTGCAGCGGGGCCACCGCCAGGTATTTCTTTGGGATCCAGGAGGTGCTGCCTCAAGTGAATGGGGCAAAGGCCGCTTATTCACTAGTGAGTGTTTCTCTGCAGTTGCCAAAGTCAGAACTTTCTGCTTCCCTCAACCCGCACCTTATACCATAGCCTGTAAGCTCAAGCAATACCTGTTCAAACCTGGGGGTTGGGCACATTTTACAAAGGACAGTTTTCAATTGAGACACCTGGCCAGAGAAATTTACCAACGTTAGACCTTGAATCCTAGTCAAAGATAAATATAAGAATTACATCTCCTTGTTGAGTATGTCACATCTTAAAAATAACTTGGAATAAAATATTTAAATTTTTATTTCTGACTTCCCAAGGGAAAGAGAATTGAGGGTTTTCATCTTGGCCTGATTTTTGCTAAAGTCACACCATTAATTATCATATTTTGTTTTAAGTCCCTAATAATCGGATATATCATATACAGATAGAACAATTCAGATGGATGAAAATCTTTAAACATTTCCTACTTATCCTTTGCACTCAAATTTCAATTATTGATTTTTTTTTTTTTAAAGAAACAAAACAAGCCTCAGTTGGTTAGAGTGTTGTCCCAATATGTCAAGGTTATGGGTTTGATCTCCAGTCCCAACATATAAAAACCAATCAATGAATGCATTAAATAAATGGAACAACAAATCAATGTGTGCCCCCCCCCATTTCCTCTCTCTCTTTCTCAAATCAATAATAAAAACAAAATAAAACAAAACCTTTTATATCATCCTGATGCTTCTCAAAACCCATAATGTTTGGGGGAAGAGGAAGATAAATTATTTTTTTGTGTGAAGTATGATTAGTGGGATTTTTCTAAAAGGAAGAACATGGAATATATACTTCATATGTTTTAAAACTCCATAAAATGTGATTTTCTTTAAAACCATCCTACAAGTTAACTAATTTTCTCCTTGTTAAATTATTCCCATTGACTAAGAAACAATCGATGGTTTAAAGCTTATCTTTTAAGAGAAATGGAAATCAAATATCCATTTTCCTTTTCCACTTGAATGTACGACTATTATTCCTGCTTCAATTAACCTCTTATTCCTGTGTTAATATTTTCATGTCAAAAACAAGAGAAGTTTTGGGCTTTAACACATCGCACACGATATGGGGGTTCCCTCTAAGGAAGGGGCCCTCCCTACTTGAGAAATTACCAGCCTGATGAGAGTTAAGCCCACCATAAACCCCCATTTCTTTGACCCAATTTATAATTCACTTGTAAAGACCTCTCAGTTTGCATGGAATTTCTGAGTGGGAGTCCAGAGGCCCTGACGTTTCCCTCTGAGGGAAACGGGAGCACAGTGTGTGCCCAGGGCCAGGGCAGGAGCAGTGAGAGAAAACACTCATCTGTAAGAGAAGGCAAAGCTAGCATCAGGTTGCCCATCCTCAGCCCTGTGGAAGCAAAAACCCTCCTCGTCAAAGAGGGAAGAATCAATATTTGCAGTATATCTGGGGAAATGTCAGCAGTCACCAGACCCAAGGTTCCTCCAATTTATGGTAATAAAAATATGGGACCCTTCCATCTGCAGGCCGATGCTCTATGCACTGAGCCAAATCGGCTAGGACTTGTATTGCTAAGACTTTTTAATAATAAATTGTTCTTGATGAATTATAAAAAGAAAAATGGGCAAATAAAAATATGGCCAAATAAATATGGTAAAAATATATGGACAAATAATAAAAATATGAACCTCCAGCTGTCTAAGGTTGAGGCAGTCATATCCACAGCGCAGTAGTAAAATCCACGCTTTGAAATGCTGCACTTATGCTAAAGGGGCTTATTAAACTACCACCCATTCTTCAGTCCACCTTGTAGGATCCCTGCCCATCCCAGCCCCCCCAAAAGCAGGCTTTTCCCTCACGTGTGATCTCGGTCGCTCCTCGCTCTTTGTGGTCACCTCCTGGCTGCAGTGTCCTGAGTGGCAGGAATGGTGAGGAGGGACTGCCTTTTATTCCTTCCTCTGGGCGTGGGCCCCTTGTGCAGTCCCATTGCAGGTCCAGGCAGCCAATGGGGGCCCAGGGCAGGGTGGGGGTGGTTGGGGCAGGCAGGCCTGCACACAGGGCTGCATTGACCAAGCTGCCACCCAGGGACTGCACTTGGGCCAAGGCAGAAAGCGGCCTGCGGAGCAGGAAGTGGGGAGTCAGCTTTTTGTGCTCTTTAAAATTTACACATGAATATTAATGATCGTCTAAAAGCAAGGTTGGTGGTGGGGAGAGGAGAGAGACAGATTAATTGATTCCAACAACACAGATGTTCAGCCAAGAACTTGGAGCGTCCAAGTGCAGGCTGCGCCATGCTGTTTTCCAGTGGAGAGGCCCTGAGCCCTCTCCCGTCTCCAGCTCCCCCACCTGGCCCCCACTAGCAGGCAAGATGCCCCGTGGACATCTGAACCCTGAGCTAAGCAGGCTGCCTCAAGAAGCCACTGAGCTCAACATCAGCAGAGACTGAGACGTTTGGCAAAATAGATACTTGATTCATTTAGGGCAGTGGTCGGCAAACTGCGGCTCGCGGACCCCATGGGGCTCTTTGGCCTCTTGAATTTTTAGCAAAGGCCAGCTTAGGAGTACCCTGATTAAGTTAATAACAATGTACCTACCTATATAGTTTAAGTTTAAAAAATTTGACTCTCAAAAGAAATGTCAGTCGTTGTGCTGTTGATATTTGGCTCTGTTGACTAATGAATTTGGTGACCACTGGTTTAGGGGGAAAATCTTTGTTTAATATGATTGAGGACCCATGCCAGGCATACTCCAAGGTTTTTCCTTCTTCCCAGGATACACAGTCACAGCCTTTCAGAGCCAGACGGTGCCATAGACATATGTCCAGTTACTGTGTTCTGCAAAGGTAGCTTCTGTGGGACTGAGGCCCCACGGCCAGCCACAGGGAACCAGGCCCAGCCTCCCGCCACCCATCTTCAACAGCCCACACCTGAGACATTTCCAAGCAGAAGCCCAAAAGGTGCGCATTCCTGAAGATGGTAATTAAAAAAACATTGGCTTCGAAGTAATAAGATGTCCGAGCCAGAATCAGGGCCCTTCTGACTCAGGTTCACAGCGGCCACGGACTGGTCCAATACACAGAGATGTCTGTGGACACTGTGGTTCTGTTGTCATCTGTTTTACCGGAAATTTCTTGTTTATTCAGTACTCAGAAGCATAGCCTGGAAATAGCATGAGGCTCTGAGGCTTGGGACCTGAATTGTCCCAGCCTAGACCCCCAGCCTATTTTTTTTTTTTCCTTAAGCAATTTTAATCACAAACTGAAGGTGAAGGGGGCACAGGCTGGCTCTTAGAGAGTGGTGGCTGACTCTAGGCCACGTTCCTGGAAGTACCGGAGGGGCAGATGGGGGTGGTTTCCTGACTTTTCGTTGAAATAGGATGTAATCCTCCCTTGTCCTTCCTGATCTCCTGTTGGCAAGTCCTCTCACATAACACCTTCCACCTCCTTCTCCGGGATGCTCTGGGCCGTGCACCATCTGAACACCCAGCCTACTTCTTATAACCAGTTGACTGTGGATGAAAAAACGTGAGCTCCGTTTGCAGGTGGGTCTGCAGGATATGCTGATC